ATAATTCTAATCTGTCATCAAGTATGAGTAACAGAATCATTCGAATATGCTTAAGGGCTTAACATTATTCATAACATTGCAATAGTTATGGCTAACTATTTTATCTCCCATTGTGACAATTGGGACGTAAAAGGTAGAGACACGATGTTTGCATTTAGTAATTTACCAAGAACATGCGCCTACAAGTGTTAGAACGGCCGGCAGGCAGCAAAAGTAAAGCCAAATGATTGTGAAGGCAGTTTATTCACAAAAGGCTGAATGAGTCTACAGCTTTGCCACCGACTGCGAGGCTCTACTTGGTTTGAGCTAAAGGCTTATGTCAGCATGCTACCTTCCTCACAATGACAGTGTGCCCATGTTTAACTGGTGGAACGTTTACCAAAAATATACAAGAAATCGCTGCTTTGACACATAGGCACATTTTTAGGACGCACTGTAATTGGTAAGACCACCCTCCGATTATGTAAAACTCTTTCTTCGTACCATTATTCCTTTTTTGATGTATTTTTACTCATTGTACTTCACCTCTGTTGTTGCAGGAGCAATGCTTCCCCCAATTAATTACTTACCCCAACGGGCATTTAGTCTGTTTTCAGGTAATGTAACAGTATGAGTAGGATGAGACCAATGCTTTGGTATCCTGTACCTTGTTCAAAGGACAAAAAGCCACCGAAAGGCTCTGTGGCTGAAAGTCAGAGCGGAATTGTTCCTGTCTCTGCTGTTATACATCTCTCGTGAATCTTTGCCGATTAGTTAGCCTTGAAAGCTACTGGAGATTTAAAACGAAACCGTTCTTTCCATTGCAGCCGTCCTGCAAACTGACCTGATGACAGCTATTTAAAGTGTCAAAAATGCAAAATAATTTGCGCAACTAGAATGTGTTTGGAGTAGTGAAGAACTGATTTTAGTCATGCATGGGACACTTATTAGAGATATATTTGGTAAAAAAAACAGCAGAGCTTGAGATATCCTTACGTTTATTATTGCATTTTCTATAATGCCTCCAAATAGCATCGTCCTATTTTACTCTCCAAGCCCAAGTGAAAAAAATAACCCCGATGACACAATTAGGGTTAGACATCATACATCTGTGTTCATTCACTCAATAGTATTCTCTGTAAACTGAATTTGAAATAGAATCCACAGTGCCCCTTTCATCATTTTTATCAACGGCAGTTTTGACTGTTAAATAATAATTCCAAGCTTGTGAGCTGTGCGAGTTTGTTGCTCTTTATTGTATTTGTAGCGTTTTTAAATTGAATAGTTTTTGAGTTTTGATTTGGACAAGCACATTTGTTATTTTTCTGTTGGGTAGTATTCTGATGATATTTCTGCAGAGGAAGCCTTCCTTCTATGTCAGAGGTCCGCCTGTTCTCCAGCAGGTATCATAGATTAACGAGCTTTAAATACCTTTCGGACAGCATATGATGCCGGACCTGTTACTGGCCTCGCTCCTTCTGTAGTTAAAAAGAAAGATGTTCACAATGTTTTAATAGACTCAACACTGCCCCGGGGAAATTGATGATGCTTGCCAATTATAAGGAAACATTTTAGAGAATGACCCGGTGGCTTCGCGTCCGCTGCTCCTCCCGCGGCTGCAGTGCATCGACCACAAGCTAATGTGAAAGAATTCTGGTCTCCGTCCAAGTGTCGGGCATTGTGTGAGAGCAGGATGGGGTCCGCTGAGCGACAGGGTGGAAAATGTGAAGGCGGTCTCGGGAGGACGGAGCTGGTGAGGAGTCAGGAAAGCCTGTGGAGAGGAGAGGAGAGGAGAAGCGAGGGGAAAGCTGGCGTCAGCAGCACATGAGATGAGCGAACGCAATGTGAGTTGACTCTGATGGCCCCGTGCTCCGAGAAAGGAATAGTAGGATTGTTCACATACGCCCCCCTCTCTGTCCTCCTCTCACTGCTGCCAGCCAGCCAAAGGGACGGCTGCCATGACGACAAAACGTTAGTGTTTTCTGTGACAACAAAGCCTGCATCTCATGCATTTTTAGCCGCGGTTCAGGCATCACCTGTGGTAACACATCAGGTCACTGACGCTTTATATTAAGGGTCTTTCCATCACACTGGTCTGTGTGACCACAGAGGTCTTGTTGGGAGGAACACAATGTAGATGGGAGCAGTTTTACTCACCTGATGAGTTTGTGAGGATAATGGCACATGGTTGCCACTATTCTTGTATATGTTTACTGCATAACTTTAAAAAATACATATAATGTTTGTGTTAATTGCATAGGTCAGTTCCTATAAAAGCATCTACCAAAATAAACTGCAAAGCATCATATCGTCAATCTTTCCTGTCAGCAGGCCTCTGCGGGCAGTCAAGGATGTTACAGTTTAATGTTGTATATCCTTCCATTTAAGGGAGTGATGCAGACAGGCCTTCCTTCACTGTCAGAAGACAGCAAAGCTATCAAGGACAAGAATGGGCACTGCTTCATGTGGAAAACACGCTGCAGGTAGTTTACCCCCCCTCGCCCCCCCCCCCAGCGATGATGTGGGAGGGCAGCCAAGCTCCCCCTGAACCCAGCGGGCGCTGTGTGACAGCGGGGTCAGAGCCCCGATGCGAGGCCTGTCGGGGCCGTACATCACGCGGCTACGGCGAGGAGGACCTCGCCCGGGGTTGGGTAATGACAGCTGGAGGACATCGGGAGAGAGCGGACAAGGGAAATGAGGGGATGGCAGGAAAGATGGCCGCCAAAAGCACACCGGGTCAGACAGGAAGTGGCAACTCTTGCTTGGTTTCCTGTGAGGAAGAGTGCGACGGGTCAGAACAATTCAGTGCTGCCTTTCTAGCGCAGGCGGGTACAGCATGAGTTTAGCAGAATGTGAGGCAGTGAGTTTCAGGCTGTATGTTTTTAATAAAAGTGCTTTTCCTGTTGCGGTCCTGCATAAAATGCAAGAATAGTTCTGGTTTGTTTGTTTTTTAACTGTAACGATCCCAAGTTCTATATTCTGTGCACCATGTACCTCTTTTTGATCGGTCTGTCACAGGCCCAGTTTGTGCTCTGCATATTAAGTACCAGATTTTTGATTTTGATTTTAAAAGGTTGAGAAACTGGTTCAAAAAACGTTTTTGGTGGGCAACAAACTTTTCTCATATCCAGCGTGTTATATGATCCTTTGAGGATTTGGGAAATCATTTCAGAGCCATGTACGTCCTGTAATATTACCTTTTTTAGTTTTTTCAATAAATTAAAAAATGAGGACAACTGGGGTGCAGTTACTTTAGGTACAGTGAAGAAATCTGACTGGTGAACAACCGTTGCTCCAAGCCCGCTAAACTGTTTACAGAAAATCTTTTAGCTGAACATATTTCATGCGTCAGCTCCATCAGAGCACTCATGAACCATTACCAGTGCTAATAAGCTTTCAGAGAGATTCTGCTAAGCTCCTCTCACAAAAGTTTTTTTTTTTTTCCAAAGATTTCTTACATTTCTGCCAGGGAATAACACATCTCCACGTGCTCAAACATTTATGAAGCCTGTGTTGAACTTTGCCACTGAGTATACTGTGAAGAGCTCTGGCGCTATTGATCGAGGCCAGAAACACTCATGTCGAACCTAATGCATCCCTCAGGAGGCGCAGTGATAAAAGGTTCAGGCGTGTGGGGAGCCTTACGCACTTATGCTAAAAGTGCAGCGAAAAAAATGACTTACTTTCTGTAAATCTGGAGTGTTTTATTCTGAAATCCATTAAGGGCAATCATTATAATATTCATTGTGGTCCTTTGAGAAAATACAAAATCAAGCAAGCGAGCTGAGAGCAGTCATGGCAGAAAAGGTTGTGCATGGCTGACCAAGTGAAGACTTGAGAGACACAAGCAGCTGGCTCACCGTGTGTGTGTGTGTGTGTGTGCGTGTGTCTCCTTCTGTTAAGCCGAGCCCTTTAGCAGTAGTCTGCAGCAGAGATTCAAGGTCAGGGTGGCTGATTCCACGGATGCGTTTTATTCTCCGGAGCCAGCATCAGATGAGATGGTTTACCGCGGCCCGCCGACCGCTCTACACGTTCCCACATCTATTCATCCTCTGCACGTACTCCCATCCCTCCATCATCACCCTGGTCCTCCCTGGCAGGGGAGTGTGCATTTACCCGTTAAATTAGGAGGGGGAAGAAGGAGGTCTGAGCGCCTGGGTACCCTTGCGGACGTGCAGCAGGGAGATGGATAGTCTCAGGCGCTTCTGATTTCCCATGTGACCACAGTAATTGCGTTATAATGGAGGTGACAGCTGAGTGGCCATCAGCAGAAGCACAACGTTACGTCCCAGGCTTCCCCTGCTCTCCTGTCGCCATACTGAACAGTAGACTGCCGACATAGACGGCTCAGGATTATGGGCTTGATGTCTGCATCCCTGAACCCACAAGGTTATAATTCATCTTTAAGTCACTGACTTAATGGTACAGTTTGCAACCACATTCCCTCAGGCAGATATTTGTGTTCATCACCTTCAGTTGGTCAAGTTGTTGTCTCAACACTGAAACCGAAGAAGCTTTTGAACTGCACTTTGCCAATGCAAGCTAATGTCAACAGAGATGAATGAAGGTTTTGTTGTCAGTGTCACTTTTTCATTGACTTCATTCATTGTCAGTAGTAGTATGGCAGTCTAGTGGCAATTTCAATGTCAGAGAACAGTGAAAAGCAAAAATGGGATTATCTTATTTTCAACGGATGGACAAATCCAGTGATTACGATCAATTAAGAAGGGACTCTCATTTAAATATGAAGTTAAATGTATTATTTTAGCGTGAGACTTGTACGTGAGATTTGGGAGGGAGCGGTCAAAATAAATACGCCATCCAGTTGCATCCAAATGTTGCAGATTGAATAAACGTTTCTATAAACCAATTAAGACACCCAAAATGCTGAAGACTGATTTTTTTCTGCTATTTTGTCCCTCCTTTTTGTCCTGCCCACCTATAAATGCATAGCAGCTGACCATAACCAATGCATTTTTTGCGGCTGTCCACACGTTGCCTCCTCTTGTCTCTCCTTCCAGGGACCATGAGACCAGTGCAGAGGAACTTTTACGAGCCGTCGTCCGCTCCGGGGAAAGGCGTGGTGTGGGAGTGGGAGAACGACAGCGGCTCGTGGACGCCGTACGACATGGAGATCTGCGTGACCATCCAGAACGCCTACGAGAAGCAGCACCCCTGGCTTGACCTGACGTCTCTGGGCTTCTGCTACCTCATCGACTTCAACAGCATGTGTCAAACCAACAGACAGAGCCAGCGCAAGCGCCGCCTGCGGAGGCGCATGGACCTGGCCTTCCCGCTCATCATGGGCTCCATCCCCAAGTCGCAGTCCTGGCCCGTGGGGGCCAGCTCCGGCCAGCCCTGCTCCTGCCAGCAGTGCATCCTGGTGAACAGTACGAGAGCCGCCTCAAACGCCATTCTGGCCTCCCAGCGGCGGAAGCTCTACGGGGGGACGGCGGGAAACCCGGGCGGCGCGGGGACGCTCGCCGCGGTACGACAGAGCAACACCTTTGCCGGAACGTCCCTCTGGGCGCCGGCGTCCGCCTCCTGCGGCCCCAACAACATCAACATGAGTGCGGGCGGTGGGCAAGGCAAAGCGGAACAGGTGCAGTTGCCGCTGTCCTCTGCCAACTTCCCCTGTTCCCCCATAATGGCATCTCTTTCAGCCGCCCACGGCCACCACGCGCTCACCATCAACGGACAGAACAACCTGAACCGGCCGGGCACCCAGCGCTTTTCCGTGGGCCCCGCCAGAGGAGCCGTCCCTCCGGGGTAATTATGTTTGCAGACACAAACCTTCACGCTTCACGCTTTTTCCTGCAGATCGCTGCACGATCTGCAGGAAAAAGCCTTTGGGTCGAGCAGATTTTACCGAATTTTTCTTCATATTTGTGTCTGCCCTGGTTATTGCTCCATACTGCAATGAGCTTATGTTGGCCCTGAAAGGCGTGTAATACTGCAGCACTGCTGGATCGTTCTGTCGCCTCCGCTATGAACCGTTTGCTTGCTATGACGGGCCTTGGGATGAGAAACGTTGCATGCACAGTATGTGTTTGTGCATGTGTGTGTGTTTTATGGTGCGGGTATGTGTATGTCAGGCATGTGAAGCCGGCTCTGGTGGAGCTGTGGAAACCTATTTGCCATGGAGGCAGAGCTCCACTGGGAAGAATGAATAATGGATCCAGGAAAAATGGGATCCTCATCTGAGCGCTGTGACCTCAGAGCAATTCAGCGAAAGGAGGCGAGGAAAGGTTGTGTGTGTGTAGCGCTGTAACCAATACTTCCCCTATACTGCTTTCTTTTACTAAAATGAACTCTCTACTGATCTAATTATTATTCCACTAGTTTCTTATCACTCTTGGGGAGAGACATACTTAGTGCATGTTTGAATAATTCTCTCTTTGAACCAGGCACTCATGCTTTCACTTCTTGTGGCCTATTTTGGTGACAGTGAAAGGAAACGTATCTGTTTTTTGCTCAGGACGTGACCTTGTTTGTACAGAGCAAGCAGTGGTAAAATGATGTCCGTTTTGTCTGTAGTTAAAGAATTCAGTGAAAGCATGGAGTTGTGGCTGAAATGTAACTCTTTCACCCCACAGCTATATAAGTTGTTTTTTTTTGCGTAGACCGAGCGAGCGAGAATGAGGAAACACAGGAGGTGTGCAGGAGTGCGTCGGTTCCCAGGCGAGTGGCTTGACATACAGGATGATCGTGGTTAACATGCACGTGGCGGGACATGAGAGTTCAGACACACACACACACACACACACACACACACACACACACACACACACACACACACACACACACACACACACACAAACCTGAAATGTGTATTTACTCGCAGATTCCCACGAGCAGTTTGAAGACTGACAAAGAAGAAACCTACGCAGACTGTTTCTCACATGCCCACACCCTAAAACAACTGGTGCAGGGTGTGGAGCAGATGTTTGCCCCCCTTTGGCTTGTTTACATGAGTTTATGTTACTTATTACAAGTGTATATCTGCCGCATTAATACATTTACATTAAAATAAACTCTTCCGTAAAACCGCCCATAAGCTAACGCTGCACAGGATGTCATTAGAGAACACGCACACGCATGCACAAACACTGGTCGTGGGTGAGGACGGGGGAGGATGGAGGGGTGTGGGGGGGGTAGTTATACACTGCTTTCTAACTTATTACCGGGTTGAAGCAGCCCACTGTATTACCAACTGCACTCCAACGATGTGTCTTACTTGCGCTGGCTTTTATTGTAAAACCTAAAAGAAGGGCTGCATTTAAGATTTAGTTTCATTGGCTGAGCGGCAAAGTGTCACATGTTAGAAGGCAAAAAAACTAATTGTGATTACGCGGATGAGGAGAAGTGACAGTTTAGAAATGTCTGGCTTTCTGAAAGACAAAGAAACATAATTTGAGTTAGAACAAACACGCAAAGAATGTCACAAGATCACTGGGGATTTTTCTCATGGCTTTTTTGTCAGCCAAACCACTTCCTCTTACGCTCTTTCCATGTGCACTGGTATTTAACTGAGTTAAGACGTGCTCTGCGTTGTCTTCAGAGAAAAGGAATAGGTCTGTGTTTGCATGTTTGCCAGCTCCATTTTGCATGTGTTAAACCGCTCGCCTGAGCGTTGGCTTGAGGGTTTGTGTGGAGTGCTGAGATCATTATCCCTCGGCTCTGCAATGGTGCTCACCACAAACTACACATTTATTCTGAAATAAATGAATAAATCAAGAGAGCAACCAATGTGATTCGACAATCTTTGGTGTCGGTATTGCTTATTATCGCCGCATTTAAGGTACATTGTGCCCCCCCACTCCCCCCCTCTCTCCATCAGTGTAGCAGACGAAAGGGCCCCGCTACTCGCATCAATATGCAATGGAGCACTGCTGGAGTTCTCTCACTCTCTTTACATTGCAGAATAAAAAGATGAGGAGATATTAGTTCTCCCTCAGTACTTTCTTAACAGGCCTAATGTGGACGCTCTATTTGAGGAATCGCATTGCTCTCAGTCTGATTAGGTCCTCGTGCAGGCGGGAGATTGCCTTGGGAAAGGAAGCGAGAGAATGAAGAGGGACAGTGACCCTCGTGCCTTGACCTGATAGGGGCCATAAATAATGTGGTGTTAATGAGTTACGTAAGGTATATTAGGGCTTGATTTATCACCTAATTGCATTGGTTTTAGGTCTGATAAACTATAGCATCTGGCGTGAAAGTAGTACGCTACTGAGTGTAGCCGAGCTTAATGGACAGAAGGGAGCGAAGAGTGAACGGGGAGGTTGGCGAGGAGAATGAAAAATGAAAAAGAGTTGGCGAGGTGTAAGAAATGCAGAGGTGATTTGCCGAAGGTGCCTTTTGCATCAAAATCCATTGTCAAAACAGGTCAGCGCCTCCAGAGGTGCACATTATTCAAAAAATAAATAAGTGAGGAGTGGCAGCTGCTGCACAGATTCTACAGGTTCACTGGCTGGTAACGAGCATGCTTGTATAAGAGCAATGTCTGCAGAGCACAGGTAGATAATCATACGCTTTACATAAATAATAAATTACAGGGCGATGGGAAATTGCTTGCAGAATGAAGATGTCTCTGTAAAAATAAACCATAACCAGGGCAAATACATTGGATTGTTTTTCCTTCAGTTTAGAATAAAATGATCATCAGCTGCTGCTGTTTTTTTCGGTGGCTCACCAATCACACAATATACAGCCGTTTCATTCATATTGGATATTTAGTATACACTCTGGCTGATTGCAAGATCTTTGGAAAGCAATAAAGATGAAAAGCATTTGTAATTATTTTATGCTTTTAGGATCCCTGACGGAACCTCTGTGCTTACAGGATCGTGTGCAAAGTACAGGCGCATAATGACATGGTGTTAAGGGTTCTCATGGTGTGCTGCCTCACCCCCCCTTCTCCTAAAGAATATTATGGGTTTGATGGCAATGCTTCCACCAAACAAGCCACATTATGGCTTCTTCGTGTGTGTCGATTTGATGTTGATATAGGGGCATGTTCAAATGAAGGAGGAACTCTTCCACTGGGCAGCACATAAATAACTACTTTATGTGCTGAAAGTATAAAAGTAGCTTTACTTTATGTGCTGCCCATCGCTCGACTTTTGGGTTTTAACTTTGGTGAAGCGTTTGTCACTTCTTCTCTTTAAACATTTCCCTCTGCAGTAAAGACAAACTGAGTAACCGACACTGGTACTTCATTGAGTGAGCGGCAGCGTAATGACATAGCCGGTTAGTTTTTGTTTCAAGCGGCGTCTGCAGCACGTGAGTTCACACGTTAATTCCTCCGCTGAGGCTCACGGTGCGAAATCACTGGCTGTAGACCTGGTTTGAAACAAAATTAAATTAATCCGGTTCCACTTTCACACCCCCGACGCACACAACAGGAGTCAGCTGCTGGTTCACTGACGTGAGACTCAATGAGCTGTGAGTCTCTACCACGGCTGCAATGGGACACGACCAAGGCCGCGAGTTCTGTTATTGCACTCGGCTTATTGAAGGGCCGCCCCTGGCAGAGGAACAGAGACTCTCGCTAATATGAAAGCAGTCTTTCGAAGCAAATTTGTGAAACGCCCGAGAGCTGCAGGGGCCAAAGATCTCGTGTCACTTCATGGTCAAAGAGCAGAGAGATTTAGAGGTGTATGTGAAGTTGTGCGTGCGTGTGTGTGTGGTTGATAAACCGATTTAACCAACCAGCAGTGCCCCATTTACACATTTAGTTTGACTTTAGATTTTCATTTTGCTGTAGTAGTAGAGAAGGCTATTGCAAATGTGTGTTGAGATGAAGTTGGTAGTCTGTAAATGCAGGGCCCGTCTATGCTGAATGTGAGACTTGACTTCTCACATCTGGTGCATTTGTGTTTTGCTCATGTGTTAAATTCTAATGTGATTTAATACAAGATATCAATGCAATTGTTATTTTAATGAACCCAACATTCCCATCAAATGACCTTGTCACACTAAGGCTTACTTTTAGGCCGAGGAAAGGAGCTTCTGTGGGATTCTGGTTGAATCAAAGAGACTCACTAAGTTGTGCGCTCATATTAAGGCATCACATGCTTTTGTCCACTGCTCCAAAGATCTGGAAGCGTGCACGAATCTGTGTTCACCATGAACTCGACCCTCTCCAAATATCCCGAATCAGGCTCTGCTGCAGTGCTTTGAACATGATTCAAGATGTCTCAACCCATTGCAGTTGTCTCCGTGGTGAAGCACATGTGACATTTGAACTGTGTTGATGGTTTTTTTCGTGGCACGAAGGGCAAAGCGAGTTTCTGTTCTCGGCTTTGGCATAACAGGCAATGGCGAACAATGAACTGCTCATTCTTGAGGTTATACTTATACCTTTTGAGTATATATTTTGTGTAGATCTTGATTTGCCACTAAAGGTAAATTGAATGAATGTATACTGTGAGCTGGTCGCCTTTTATATCCACGAGGAACTTTGGAAAAGTATTTGCCAGTCATAAAATTATTTTTTTTGTTCCTTGTAAAGGGTTCCTGCCCTCCCAGTGAAGAACCTTACTGGAACTGGACCCGTGCACCCAGCGCTAGCAGGTTAGTCAACATTCACTGTAAACGATCTGTGATTGGTCTTGAAAGACACTAACAATCTGCTTTTCCCAATTTTGTGTGTGTGTGTGTGTGTGTGTTTGTGTGTGTGTGATCTGTCCGTACGTGTCAGGTATGACAGGTATCCTGATGTGCGCTGCAGGTCTGCCGGTTTGCCTTACTCGGGCCCCCAAGCCCATTCTGCACCCACCACCCATCAACAAGAGCGACATGAAGCCCGTGCAAGGGATCAATGGCATGCGCCGCAAAACCAAGAAAAAGCACCTGAGGAGAGGTGAGGAGGAGGGAATCAAGGACTGAACAAAGTGCAAATACTTTACCGTAGTATTTTTACAGTGTTGGATACATTCTACATAATCTAGGGAGAAGAAGAGAACACCGACAGCCTGCAGACTTTCTCCGTCTGGCCAGCCTGTCTGTCTGTTGTTTAGCATGCAAACAAGACCCAAGCTGTGTTTTTTTTATTTTTATTGTGATCATAATTGATCATTAAATGCCTCTCATTTAAGCTCAGCCAGGATGACACAATAAATTTAAACCTCAACCAAGGTCGCTCCAAAAATAAATAGCTCCTACCAAGTGTAATGATGATTGCTAAATCAGATTCATGAGCCCGAGCAGTGAAGCTGTTACTGTAACAATGTTATAGGCGTTGCATTGCATGCACGACGGGGGCGGTTGTAAGGAAAGTAATTAACAAGGGATTCTCGTGCTGATCTGGTTCAGGGGGGGATCGGAGTGTGAACGCAGAGACACTGGAGAGTATTTTTTTTCAGGCTCTGCTTTCTGTCCGGGAAAAAAATGTCGGAAGGGCTTTGAAGCTAATGAAGCCATCAAATCTGCTGCCTTTCTCCTCTTTTTTTTTTTTCTCCCACTTTTCTCTCCTCCCACTTTTCACAGCCTTCTGCCTCCCCTACCCCCTTTATACCGTAACATTCCCTTTCGCCTGAGTCCGTCTCTCTCCACTGCCCCCCCCCCCTTCCCCCTCTGTCCCTTGGCTTTTCCTCAAATGAACAAACAAAGGCTTGAGGGAAAAAGAGGTTGCCTGTAACCGTATTAGGGGTGTAAGCTGTGGGTGTGCTCTCAGCCATACTAGCCTGGTTGCACACAGGGATTATCAGAGAGTGTGGGAAAGGCTGGGTTGGTATGTTTCAATCTGAAGGTGACCTCGTCTTCAACATGGCAGACGTGTACACTTCACTCACGCTCATCAGAAAATGAAGGGCGTCCGTCACGCTCAGGCCAGAGCAACTGCTGAAACACATTTTCTTTGTGTTTACTTGTGAGTTGTGGATGCAAGTTTTCTCTTGGGGGGGGTCATCTCATCCTCCTCTATGCTTTATTCCATTACAAGGCAAAAACCCGGAGGATGTGGTTCGAAGATACACAGAGAAGATTAAAGTGGTACCAGACGAGGTAAGAAGAAGGAAAAAGAAAACACGGAGGTTTTGTGCCCACCAGACAATTGATTCCGTCCCCCTTTTGAGCCCCTGACTGAGTGGGAAAGTCTCATAAACACGCAGTCACGTAGAATGGCAGCTGAAGTATTTTGCTCGGCTATTCCAGGACTGTACCATCTGCATGGAGAGGCTGGTCATGTCATCAGGCTATGAAGGCATCCTGCAGCACAAAGGCATCAAGCCAGAACTTGTGGGCAAACTTGGCAAGTGTGGGCACATGTACCATCTGCTGTGCCTGGTGGCCATGTACAACAATGGCAATAAGGTGGGTAAACGCTTGTGAGCCAGACGATGTTGTGATGTCACTCAGAAGGCTCAAATTATGGCTAAGCATATTTCATTGCACTGGCAGATGATCAGGCTTTGATATTGAACATCAAACACAGATGTGGACCTTTATGCACTCTTGAACATTTGAACAGCACCTTTCCAGAAACAACATTCTGATTACACTCAATTAGAAGCAGCAGCTGCCTTTGGGACTGTGATTTGTTCCTTTTTGCACACAGTTGCCTCTTTACAGGTGCAGTAGACGCAGAGCGACACATGCATGCGTTTCGGTTTGTGTTTGTCTTTTTGTTCTGTCCGAAATGTCTTTCTACTTGGTTCACAGGCTTGTGGCTTCCTTTGTCTTTTTGCTGTTTGATGATAGACAGTAAACGTATAGTGTATTTTTTTTTGTTTTTCGGTTACGAGAGAAAATCAAAGAAAACCAAAATCTTCCAGGAACCCCAGAGTTGTGATGATGATGACAGACAGTAAACGTATAGTGGTTTTTTTTTCGGTTTTCGGTTACGAGAGAGAACCAAAATCAAAGAAAACCAAAATCTTCCAGGAACCCCAGAGTTGTGTTATAAATAACTACCACAAGCGAACCCCTTAACATTATGAATTTGTCATTGGAAGGCCATTAATATTAAAATTGTGATGAGTGACGCTTTAAATAACGTTTTCTTTAACACCACAACCTAAGTGTTATATATGGTGATTGTTTTGGGAAGAAGGCAGAGAAATAATAAAATCAAACTATAATAAAACTATCTGCATGGCTATATGACACTTTAGTTGAAGTTAATATCTTCTTTTTGGGTGAACTGACCCTATGACGCTAAGCAATCCATGTCCATTTAATTGCATTGAAATCATGCCATTAGGCCATTAAAACGTTTTTTTTTTGTACCGTTTTTAGGACGGCAGTCTCCAGTGTCCAACATGTAAAACCATCTACGGGGAGAAAACGGGCACGCAGCCTCCCGGGAAGATGGAGTACCATGTCATCCCGCACTGCCTGCCCGGCTACCCCGACTCAAAGACCATCCGCATCGTCTACGACATTCCTGCTGGGATCCAGGTCGGAGATGTGTTGCTTCACAAAAAAAACAAGTGAAAATGAAGCTGATCAAATGATTATTTTCAGTAGACATCACATTTCAGGTAGAAAGCAGAGCCCGTTTGGGTTGGTGAGATGAGAAAGGAGCATATTTCATTCTGACTGCAGAGAGGAGCTTTATTAGAATCAATAAACTGACCTTTTTCAGTCCAGAGGAACATGCTTAATGTCCCAGGGGACAGAGAATACCGGGGTGACCTTGGCCAGGGCAACATGTACTCCCCATTTGAAAAAAAAGATGACGGCAAGCAAACATCTAGCGGGTGTAATAAAGATGGGGGGAAAAAAATAGAATGCTCTGGAAAAGTTTTTTGTTTGCAACATATTTTAAACCCCACAGGAAAAAAATAATATTGTAAGACTAATTTGTCACAACAAGACAACAGTTACTGTGTTTCCTTAATTAATAAGGGCGGGAGGTAATCCGGTGGGTGCTGTGGTGGAAGATTTTGCATAGACAATCGTTAAGTAAGAAACAAAGGCTCTGAGTCAAGTATGTCTTTTCTCCGTTTATTTCCTTGCAAGGGAAAAAGGGTCACAACAGCTACGTGGTCAGTAGACTGTCAAGAACGTCCTTTTTCTTCCCAACACCTCGAGGCAGTTCTTATACCTAAATTTAGATATCGGTGGCGTCAACAGAAACCGTTAACCATCTTGTTGAGTATCTACAGCCAGGGTTCTGGGAACATCTTATCCATGTAAGACACGTCAGCTCTTTGACCGTATCCTTGCTCTCCCAACATGCTAAAACAAAGGTGGTCATAGACATAACAAACACTTTGTTCAATCTCTACAGCTATGACGCTGGAAACATCTAATCCAAGTGGGAGACATCAGTTCGTATGTCAGAGCCTTTGTGACCTAAGCACTTGCAACTAATAAACTGGTTATACAAATGAAGCATTTAAAAGGGTCACATATCATTTTCCCATTACAGTGCACACAAACCGTTGCAACACAGTATTTGATGGTTACCAGTGCGACTACCGCTCTTTAGAGGCCCAGATTCATTTGGAGCGCTGAGAGCAACTTTCCTAAACATAATACTTAAACAGATAATTGGATATTTACAGTAATGTATCTCACGTGCTCGCATCATGAACAATAAAGCTTTCCCAGTGGCCGCTGGTTGATATTTCTTAACCAATAAAGTCCTAACTGGAAGAGAGGGAGTTACAACGCGGGTTTTGCACTCCATGTCTTTCACCAGACCAACGAGCACCCGAACCCCGGGAAGAAGTTCAGCGCAAGAGGGTTCCCTCGTCACTGCTACCTCCCTGACAACGAGAAGGGCAGAAAGGTACGTCTGAGAAAACATGGATCCAAACAGGAAAAGCTAACCACGTTCAGTGAGTAGAATAGTATTAAGTATAGAAGTATTATTACGCTTTTGTTTGTCCAGGTGCTGAAGCTGCTGATCATGGCCTGGGACAGACGCCTCATCTTCACCATCGGCACGTCCAGCACCACGAGCGAGTCGGACACTGTGGTGTGGAACGAGATCCACCACAAGACAGAATTCGGATCCAATCTGACCGGCCACGGCTACCCCGACTCCAACTACTTGGACAACGTCCTAACGGAGCTCTCCGCCCAGGGGGTCGGTCAGGACAACGTGTAGGGGGAACCCGACCCATCGTGGACAGAACAGGACGCCTGCATGACGGGCCTACAAGTAGCCGACAACTCTTTACTCCCCCCACAGACGGAAACAGCCTGCGGAGGTGGTGGCACACGAGGAGCAGAAGCAAATGAAATGACGTGGTTATGGTCAATATTTTGTTTTGTATAACATAAGGCACCCCCCCCCCCCCCCTCCCTCAGCCCCCTGCTGCCTCTTGATTCCATGCCTTGAGCATGCTCTGTTCTTGCCAAATTTTTTCAGAGGGTCGAAGAATAAAAAGACTGGGGGGGGGGGCGCGCATCTCTGTCTTGGTGAATTGTATTTAATCCCTTTTTAATTCAAACCGAAGCTGTTCCGCTGCACTTGATGAGGGCTCATATTTGTAAATGGGCCCGTGTTTGTAAACGCTGTTCTCCAGAATGCATGGCCCAGACTATCGCTGCATAATGACGGTCGGGCAACTATCTGCCTGCTAGTAATGGGCCAGGTTTCTTGCTGGATATTTTGAGGAGAAATTAATAGAATTACAGCATTTTGATTAATCCAAGTGAATTATTTATTTGCGTTCCCCCTTTTCTCTCGTAATAGATTGGTTTTGGGGTCTGAAGGAGAGGATTTTAGCTTTTTTGCTGAAGTGTCTGCTAAGCTTTAAGGGAAAATCTAACATTTTACACCTGTGAGACTTTAGGTCAGTCCTCTATAATGGAAGTGTGTGCTGTAGTGCGAAAAATAGATTTGAGACAAATGAAGGCATGAAATATTAGTGTTTGCTAATAAACGTAAATTGTATGTTTTTAATCTTGAGAACTGTGTGAGAAGAGACATGAAATAAATGAAACAAGCATCTGACCTGTCAGTTTTATGCTAGTTGCCGGTCTCTGTGAGGCTGAGTTTGTGCAGAGGAATTTGCTGGCCTCCAAGGTTAATTATACTAATTTGTTGAGTTGACACACCGATGACGCTGACCTCTGTGAAGAGAAAGCCTGCATTATTTCTCCCCCTGTTGGAGGCTAAGCCAGGCATCTTCACAATCCATCATTTTAACCTCAAACTAGGGTCGAATGTGTGCGGCTGTGTTGCAATAACATGCTGGTTTGAGGTCCTTCAGGAAAAAAGCTGAACGTTTCTCTTTCAAACACCAACAGCTCTGCCTTGGAGATCCACGTTGGGCTCCTGCCAGAGATGCAGACGCCTTGTGGACTTGTTTTCTTCTTGTCTCCACTGCTTGTGTAATGAGCTGGGAGACATCTTATGAGCCCAGTTGTTGGTGCCGAGCCAGAAGCCCCACGTTCCTCCAGGTCCTCCGGCACGATCAGAGCCCTTCATTCAGGCAACCTTGTTCGAGTAAGTAGTTCCCTTGGAATTTTCCCCTCCTGAAACGCCCATGGGGCGAGATGTTTTAAGGGCCTTGGAGGAGGTCTTGTGCTGTTTCCACGCTCTGAGATAAAAGATAACTCGGTGCCGCATAATTCTCCATTTTAATAAATCTGATGAATTTTAATGAGTGTGGCGTGTTGATGTAAGGTTTATTGTGTGGGCACCCAGCTGTGAGCTTGGAGTGAATCGTAGTCTTCCATATCCCTTTGAGGCAAAGGTTTGGTTTAATCAGTCTCACCACAAAAAAATCTGTCTTTTTTTTTTTTTCAATGTTAATTAATGTTTATAAACCGGCTTGCAGCGCTTTGAAAAAAATACCTAATGATATACACTTGCAGATGTGATATATCTTTAAATTGAAGCTCAATTTGAGTCGGTGGTGTAAGTTTTATTGATTTTTATACTCTTCTATATATATGGACTGTAAAGATAAGTATGGCCCCCATATCTATACACAGGCACATGGGTACATACAATCTGGCAAAGATGAATTTGTCAGTATGTCAGGGACAGTTGAAATATGTACGACATGTTATGGACGTCTTATATTACAAGTAGTCTTAGCGAATGCTGCTCTCGTTACCTTTGTGTAGAATCTGTGTAGTCGATCCCCGATGGGGCCCACGGGACTCCGATAAATACGGTAAATGTGTCTTTGTTATTGGTGGGGGAGCTTTAGCAGCATGAAGATGTCCGTTCCCCCCCAAATGGGCCACTTCTCTTTTTTCTAGCTGTCCAGAACATGGGAATTGATGCAGTCAGCATTCTCGGTTCAGTTTGATGGTGAGAACCGCACGCCGGGGTTTAACAGAAGCTATTTGTTTATGTTTGTTTTAAGTTAACTGGGGAAACAGATGCAATTGACCTTTTGAAAAAATCCCTGAAAACCAATAGTTTAAAATGTTTAATGATTATTTTATTGAGATGAGATTTTGTTGTAGGTGTGTGCTTGGTTTTGTGATCAGACACTCAGCAAAAGTGTACTTTCGTGCAACTTCATTCCCATGAATTCTAAATATATTTTCAGGGCCTTTCAATTACTTCTCCGCGTTAAACTTCAACCTCTTAGCACCTGCACAGGCCTCCAAAAAATTACCAAAATTAGTGTGATTTCTGACCCAGCAAGAAATATTTTTTGGGCCTGTTCCATCTCAAGTTCTCCTTCACAGTTTTTGACTCCCTTTATAATACGGGACAGCAAGAGAGAATGCTTCCAACCTATCAGGGAATTCTTTTCCATGTTGAGAGAAATGTAATTAATCAGAGGAATCCAAATGTTTGCTTCTTTGACTTTTGCTTTCCGTGCGTTGGCCTTGTAGTGTGAATGATTACAGGCCCTTAAGACTTTTCAGGTGTGTACAGACTTCAATGGGATTAATGAATAAAACCTGGTATGGTATTGGTCTGATTGAGAGAGACGGTGTATATGCAATTTACTATTTTTATGATGTAATACATGATTTATGTGTAGCAAGAAGGCATTTACTTTTGTTTTCGATGACAATGGATGTTTTCTTTGCGGGGTGCCTTCTGTACCTCATGGATGCTAAACAAAGGGGTTGCAATCCTAAAAGTCACATTCTGTGTACTAGAAAACATATATTTTTGATGTTCTTGTTTTTAATAATGATTGTCTCTAAAGGAAATATTACACAACATTGCTGTATAATTCTTATTAAGATTCACACCATGCTACTTTTCATTTCATTAGAAGTAGAATAAAGGGTGAAATCAATTGAAATCCTAACGTATGGATTATGCGGTTGTACTCTCTTATAGAATCAACTGAAAACTGTACTTCTGCTTCTAAATGATACCTTAACATTTTGATGTGAATATACTGTGCTTTTATCTTTTTGTCTCTGAGGGTGTAAGTGAACGTGGGCTGAGTGCATCTCAAACAAATATTAGGTTCATGTCCTTTCAAAGATCCAGTAATGTTCTCCGAGAGGTGCATCTTAACCAAACTGTGAGAGAGTTTATTGACAATGCATATATGAAAGCAAATCAAAGTCAAAATCTGCACAAATAACATGCACGATCAACTTACTTTTGCAAACCTTTCCTCTGATTGCTCTCGAAACCGAGACCTGTCACTCGTGGGCAGGCGTACGCAGTCACCATCGTATCACCAAATGGAATTATTTGACATGCTTCTCTTTGCATTGGCCACATATCACATCCAAGGTGGATGCGTGGATCGCATGCGTTGACATATTTTGACTTTGATTTGCCTTCGTAAGCATTTATTTGCTTTTTGCATATGAAACATATTAGTTTCTTTAGAGATATCACCTTCTGGTGGTTTAGCACTGTGGTTTCGCTTCTTACAGCAGTTAGTTAGAAAGGTGTGTTCCTCTTGTGTTTGATTTATGGGGATGAGGAAGCGTTTGGCTCCACTCCTCACTGGTATGGCCACATGTAAAACACCAGATAGTTTCACATCTGAAGTACCCATTTTAATTGACATTTTCAAAGCATATCTTTTGTGGTTTCACTTCACTCTTAAGCCGTCTCTACATATTTGATATTGAAAATGGTTCATAAAGAGAAACGGAAGAACTAAAAGCAGGATAGAGCGACATTGATTAACCTATAAAGGGCTTATTAATCTATCGGTCTTTATTGAATTGTGATGACCTTGTTGCATGTTTGTGTATATCTCGTGGAAAAATAAATGTGCCCTGGACTGGGGTAGTTTGTTTGACCTTTTGTCATCTTGGCTCCCCCCTCGTTATTCCCTGCCGTACTGCTCATAATGTGGATATAATGGAGCTTTGCTGGAGCTGCGCAGTGCAGCAGAAATAGTTCTTCATTTGCAGGAAATCTGCATTACGCTTATTTTCCGTATCTGTGTGTTGTTGTGTGTTGTGGTTGGTGCATATAAGGGAGGCCTTTCAATGAGGTCTGAGCAGGATCAGCGCGCCAATTAAAACACCCTTTTTTCGTCGGGCAGTTATCCAACAGTTAAAGTTTCATTCTTCTCCCTACTTCCTCCCATGGCTCATGCCTAATGAGACAGCTGGAAGCAAAGGCGTCATTTCAGAAGGCAGTTTTGGACCACTTCAATTTTATAGTCTGAACCCCAACGTTATAATGTGGAGAAAGAAAATGAAAAACTGGACCAATATATATATATATATATATACTTGATTATATATAGATTTAGAACTGATGACATTTGATGGTAAATTGTTCTATGACTTAAACCACTTTTTTTTGACCCAGTATAATATGATATTTCTCTTTCATTGCATTCTATACCATATGTGTAAACCTCATATTGGTACAACATACTACCTGTCTAATGATATTTTCATTTGTAGGTATTTAATACTAAGTGAATTCTTCCAAACACTTCTTTCATTCTACAGAAATTGTAAAAGATAATAAAATATAACGGTGATCTTTGACTCTGCACCCTATTAAATAGTCGTGATAATATCATACAATTGGCTTTGGCTATACAATGTAAACAAGGTCATGGTTGTATATAGTACCTGTATATTATAGATAACAAGTCATTCAGGTTTCAATGTTATGCATATTTCTTTACTTTGCTGGTCAGATAAGTGGCTGAGGAATTTAAATGTCCAAAATGCATTTATAAATGTGCCCAAAAGCAAATTGTTATAATTATTGTAAGTTAGCAATTCAATCAATGCAATTAAATAGGTAAAAGTGTAAATCACCACTAAAACTATTTAAATATTTAAAATGTTGCAGGCACTTCAGCTCTGATCCTTTGCTGCTCCGTCAGTACTGTGAATGTGCAACTCTCAACAGAGATGAGAAGGGATCCAGATGGCTCAGTTTCAATTTATTTATGGAGCACATTGAAAAACAACAGAATTTGAAATAAGTGCTGTACAGTGGTAAAACAACAACCAAATACTATTTCAGATGGCTCACTCCTTAGCTACTTCCGTTGTCCACTTGGGGAAAAAACAAACATCTTTTTACCAAATAGGTTAAGTGTGTTGCTATAGATTTACTAGTTCAACATTTTACAAGTTAATAATGAACGTTATAGTAAAAAGGTAACTAATTTCCAAAAAAATCTGTTCAACCTGAATCAATATATTTTCTCTATATTTTTGAGCAGGCATGTTTATTTTGCACTTAAGTCAATTATATCAGAAATTACTTTTGTCAAATATTTAATTTACACCTAATATATTATTTATATAAGCCGTTATTTAATGTACACCATTCATTTACCAGAAAACATGCTCTGTCATGATAGAAAATTTTGGCCATTAGCCATCTCCCAGCCTGAATTTGATCAGTAGCCAATGTCATCCGTTTATTATCATCTTGCATTTGTTCCCGCATATGAACGCATGTTCACACGCTTAATCAAGCCTAATAAATACTTGTTTTTAATGTACGGCCTTAGTTGCTGACAAGCACGCGAGACACCATGCCGCGTGCTGCGTAGCCAGCTAGCACGTTAGCAAGAGGGACAGAGTAGCGTTAGCAAGCTAGCTCATTGACGTAGCGTTACTTTTATCTGAAGTTAAACTTGGACAATAGAGAAGAAAAGTTTAACTTGTTAATCTTCAGCTCCGCATTAAGAAACAAAATTAACAATCCACTTGACACAAACCATTGAGGTGTATTTGCAAAATAAAGTACAAGCAGTAGTGTTTTTCTTTTTTCTCAGAATAAGAGCCCTTATTCAGGGAAGATCAAGTCCGCAAGTAACATCTGACAAATTTAGAAAATTGATTGTCATGTCTGGCATGTGTACCAAGTGTTGCCTTTAACAGGCAGGAAGGGTGACTACACCACTCATAAATATCCACAGTTTGTTCTCTCAAAGAGAAGTCAGAGTCCACAGAAGCTTGTAATGGAAACCGCTGCCACAGGAAGGACGGCCTATCGAGAGTATTTGGGAAATCACAGATCTGATCTCTCTTCCACTCACTTACCTTCTCTGTTGAAGTGCTTTATGGGAAATTAAAAACAAATTTGGCCGCTCTAACATCCTATGTCCTTGTGAGTACTGTGGCACCAAAATCTGAAGACACTGTAAACTTATCAAATGGGGACATCTCACATGATTGTTAGTTCTATTGATGTGTGAACATAAAATATTACCATTATGACTTTAGTAGTGGCTGCAATCAAATGCTAGGACTATTTAAATATGCAAATTACATCCAAAACCAAACGTTTAAGTGAACTGGTCATAGCACCGAACAAAAGCACATTGTTTTGTATAAAGGGACCAAAGCAACAAGAAAAATGAATATTATTTAGCTCATTGTACAGGCAGCATTCTACTGTGGCATGTGCACTGGTACTTTCAACATGTCATGGTGCTATGACCTATAACGTTAACGTCACTGCTACAACGTGATCACGGCGATAAATTGCCTCAATTAAAAGCAAAACATTGATAAAAGCAATATCAAAACACCTTCAGGCACTGTAGATTACACTACAACAAGCGTTTTGTATAAAAATGTGTGCCCCTTGACTGAATTCCTGTACAGTATCTCAAAATATAAAAGCTTCTTTTCACAACAAGTCAATGCAGGCCATGCAAGAGATTGCTTGTTATCTACATAAAAGATGTAAAGTCAAATCATGCTTTAAAGTCCCTCTTTGTTGTCAAGGATCCTAATCTCTCCCCGGGCGCTGTTGAAGTTGGTGGCACTCAGAGGATACAAAAGATTCAAAGCGGGGGGATTCCATCAGCGTTTTACAGGATTTGGTAGCGGGATCCGAGTCCGTGGCGAGCCTAGGGATTCAGAATAACACTTGTGCCGTCCTCTTTTTCTCTGCGCTGGAAGGTGGCGTGGGCCTGCTCCAGATCCTCTATCACCGCCAGCAGCCGAGCAGCGACGCTCTGACCTGGCTTCATCAGCGCGTCGTAGCATTCGGCACCGTCTGTGAGGCAGGAGGTGTATATAAAAAGGTATATAAGTGCTATCCAACCCAAATGGAGGATAATGATGACAACACCGCAGTCTATCCTCATTGTCAAACATGCTGTACTTGCAGCATGTAGGAGATTTACAGTTTAAATGCGTCCGCAGGCTCACCTGAGAGAACACTGTCAGTGTTTGGTTCTGTATTGCTGGATGTCTGATCAGCGTCTGGGATCTCTACGTATTTTTTCCTGCAATATGAATCAGAAATATGAATCTCATAAACAATGGTTGTTCTCCCATAGTGCTTTTGTGTGTTCCCGTGTTGCAGCATTGACCTCTAGTGTGCAGTAAATGAACTGCATCCTACCCGGTGACGATTGCACACGGTTTCCTCCACTGACCTAAGTTTGTCTCTGCCCTGGAGAAGCTGCTTGTAGATGGTCTGTGTTTCTACGTCGGGATCCAGCGGGTCGCTCCAGTCCCCCAGTGTCACAGCTGAGTGGGTTCTACTGCAGCCTGTAACTGAGAGCCAGCCTTTTATTGAACAGCGGCGCTCCGCTTCTCAACCTCACACAGGTGAACAAGAAAGATTTATTTTGCCCAAGACTGTGCAAACTCATTCAATAGCCTAAAAATAATCAGACGTTGCTTTCAGACAGTCACTACGTGTAATTGGTCAGATAAAACTGCGATAGGATTCTCATAGGTTGTTCTCCACTAATGCAACGAAAACAGTAGCTACAAATTAAGGTTAAGGGTTTAATAATTAAACACAGATCACTACATTTGGAGCCATTCAAGTTGAACAAGAGTGAATGTGAGTTGTAGGTGTAATTTAAAAGTTGTTTACCGAGTTAATTTACATCCTGAGTCTCAATAGATGGATTTCAACGTTTGTGCAGCTATAAGAAGCAATGAAAGCAGGATTACCAGCACGGTCCACCTGCAAGCAGCAGGTCCATTTTCCACTGCGATGAGCCCCCGGGTGGAAAGAGGGCAGCATGCGCTCATTGTAGATGCTGACTTTTCTGATTGCTGACAGCCACTGGTTCAGCTCATTAACATTCTGCACAAATATAACATCAACCATTACACCATTTTGTGGTCTATTAAAGTCATTCTGAAATAAATGCAGGAAAAACACTGCTATACAACAGAGATCACTTAATTTTGTTAGAATTAATACAATAAATTGTATATTAAATATGTATTTATCAATTTGTACAGGAACAGCGCATGTTACTGTGGATCAGTATGAAAATATGTAAACAGGCTGGAGTTAGAAAGAATAATTGATAAATGATATTGCAGTTTGACTTGTCTGTATGTTAAATGTCAATAAAGGGGTGGAAAAATACAATTTTCGCAGCAGACTGAAAAAGGTCAAGAACTTAGTTGGTGACTAAGTGGTGTCGGTACCCAAGCACCTTGCACTGGATGTACATGGTGTGCAGCTGTCCATCGTTGTCCTGGGTGATGACCTGCATTACATTCTGCTGCTGAAAGGCATTTTCATCCACCCTCTCCACGGCACACACACAAAGAATAGGGATTGAGGAGCGCACCTGCAACAATTCAGCAACAACCCACAGCACCAATTAACACAATCATGCGGGCTGGTAAGGATGGATCAGTCTCTTGCCTTAGGCGTTCGCACTTAGGCTTAAGTGAGATAACATTTGATCACAGAGCAGATTAATGGAGCGGTGTCTTGTACAGAGATTCTTTGCACACGTTAGGCTTAGATCTTAGATCAGGGTGATCCGTGTGAGACCGGGACGAAGCGAAGATGAAATCGGCATCGCAGGGAAGGCCACTTTAAAGTGTAAATCAGCCACTTCCAGTGGGAGCTCGCTTCACTGAGACTGGAGTGCTCCAAAATTGAGGAAAGGGGCCGGCACATTGTCTGCAATCTGATTTGCAATGTTAGCATGAATATCCACAACCTACAATTACCCCTCGCCTTTATTCCAGTCACACAAAGCCGAGACTGGCTCAAAGAGAGAGCTTTTTACTGGGCTCTCGCTCTCTTTCTCTCTCTCCACATGGTAATATTACTAATGATGTCCTCACAAGGAGATCAACATGAATAGAGTAAAGCGAGTGGGGAATGACTGAAATGTTTCCTCTTTCTATGAGCCGGTTTGGAAATGTAGACACGCTGATTAATTTCTCATCATGGGGCATATCAGCTGCTAATAATGGATGATTCACTTTAACGTGACTTTGACTCATTGTAAACCTATTTATTTTTGGCTTGTATACAAGAAGAGGGAAATAAAAAGGCATTTATCTGGCAGATTTCACTCGTGTTTTGGTCCAGATGTCACAGTTAAAGACATATTCAAGAAAAGAGCTAATCTAAATAGCAAAAAGATACAAACTTGAAACAATGGGTGGTTGTGGAAATGGCATGTAAAGTAGATTATACATTTGTATGTACATACTGTACAGTATAGAGCTTTAACCTACTGGTTCAGTACTAACCTGCCAATCAGGCGTCTTGGCGTAGGACAGTGTCTCGCTAGTCAACCAGAAGTAGCGTTTCTTAAAGGCAAAGCGGGATAGCAGCTGTGGTCCCTCTGCCTTGTGTTTGTTGAGGTAACCCTCTTTAACTGTGACTGACGGCATGAATACAGCCCTCTGTGGCACCTCGGACACTGTGGAACGACATTGCAGTGGTTTTTAAAAGGAGACGAAAGGGAACAATTTGCAAGGCACATGTTTTAGCTTGTTTAAGTCTTCTTTCATTTTACTTTGCCGGTACCTCAGCCTTCGTCATCACCCCCATAAAGGACAGCTTCAAAGAAGCACAACAAGTCCCCGTTTTCTATCCAACAAATCCACCTGAGTGGCATTAAATGTCAATGTGGCCTTGAAGTGAAAAGAGTAGGTGTGGTGTGCAGGAGGCGCCTGAAACATGATATATCACAGGGGGAAGAAGTTTCACAACAACAACCTTTCTGACACAGTTAGAACGCAGCCCAGAACACGTTGGGTAACCAGTGTAGCGTCTATCACTTCAGCTCCCCGCCCGCTCATTAATTATGTCATTTATTTATAGTCATAAATATTTCACCACTACAGTATTGTTTTTGCTTCATCCTGATGTCAGCTGCCCACTAACAGCCGGCCTGTGGCTGATTAGCCCAATAGCGCGACCTTCTTTTGAGGGTGTTTGTTCGCCATTGTCATCCTTACCAATGTCATGATCTATGTCAATCAACTTGTCCAGGAAGTCTTTGACAGAAGCCACACTGCGGAGGATGATGGGATGAAGAGGCGCCATCCACTGCTCCTTTCCGTGACCCAGCTGGAGGCCCAAGTTCCCGACGCTCTGCAATGCCTGGGGAACGTAGAGACACGGTTCACGCTCGACGTTCGCCTCCTCAGCACGCATCAAATCCCCCAGTACCCGACAGAACTCAGTGTGAGTGACTGCACGTCTCAAAGTCAGAGATCAAAAAGGGGTCCCTGAGGCCAAGCATGCTGGGAGGCCCTTTGTCCAGCCCACACCTGTCATAGGGCGAAGAGGAAGCCCCTCTCCACACCCCTCTCTGATGCTCGGCTTTGAACCGCAGTTTGGTCGTGGCACACACAGAGGTAAAAATAGCATGTTCTCTTTCTCTGTAGAGGACCCATGGCAACAGCACTTCAGCACCATGGACAGCAACCGCGGAACCCACACGGGGGACAACAAGTTTTCACTTTTCTTCTAAAATGACACCCGTTTCCAATGATATCGAGGGCGATTATGATAGCGTTTGTTGATAGGGTTTGTGATAGTTTATGACAGACCTTTTCTTTCAAAAATCCCAAGTGAGCTGTGTTATCTAACAGGTATCTTTATTGATAGTCAAAAGGGATTTTATTAGCTTTTTAAATTTTTTTATTTTACCCATTTCCACATGAATAAGGGTATTTACGTGGGTATATTGTTAACGCTTTATGGCAAACAATGGTATGACACTACTACACACTTGCTGGAGTTGGTAAAGTAAAGTAATCCACTGGGAGATGAGATGGGTAGGATCTGGAGTTGCCACTAATTTCTAGTTCTTCAAAATAAATTAATTTCACCCTCCAGGACATAATAACAGTGTTTTACAAAAAGGGAACCTACACTTATAGGTATAGGAACAGTACTTTGTGTAATGATACAAAACCAAAAGTTACTTTAGACAGATAGCGCTGACTTTACAGAATTACCTTACAGCGTGAAAAGCAAGGAATAATTCAACACTAACCTGCTGTTATTGTACACTATTGCATTCAAAAGCACTGCTGCCTGCACACATAGTCTAAACATCCTACATTCCTGCTTTACATCTTGCAAAGACTTGCAAATTAAAATTCGTAAAGGTTGTCAGACAGCCTGTGACCTTGCATCCTGTTAAGTGTGTGATGTCTGGATTAGGTTTGTCATCACATCGTGTGCACGTTTGTCTGCATTGTGAATCGTACCTTGGCCAGCAGCAGCAGCGTTCTGCTGGTACGTGTATCCGCGTGCTGATCCCTCAGCTGGAACAGTTTAGGTGTGAGGATTGCAGGAGCGAAAAAACGCAGGAAAAAGAAGCCACTGATGGCCAGATACTTTACATCCTGTAAAAATGATATCAACAGCTGTAGTGGTAACACAGAAATAAGACAATTTATCATTAGAAAATGTTGCTGTTTTTTCTTGTGTGTTTTGCTCAGACGGACCTCATGCTCGGGTTCAGCAAATTGCTCCTCTACTCTCTTGTGTAGCTGTTTGAAGGCCACTCTCATGACAGGAGGACACTGATCGACTGAGCCCACGATTGATTCGATGATGGTGGTTAAGTAGCTCTGCAGCATCTCCACGCTGCTGTCCCGCACCTCTGCCTCTGACACTGCACTTTTAAATGAGATTCGTCTTCCCAGACAAGAATAGATAGAGTAAATGCCTGAATCACTGTGTCAGGAACAATAGAGTATACACTGTCCTAAGATAAATCTCCAGCCATTTTGTGTAGTGATTACTCTAAAATATTGTCTACAATGCCTCTTACTATAAAACTGATAACCCTCTCTGTTCCTGATTATGTCATTACATGTGAGAGCAAGGCACTCGTTTGAGAGCTGAATTGAAGATTTCTGAAGAGATGTATAGACAACAACAAAGAAGTGGACGCCAGGCAAATCTACTGCAGACCGACAGCGCAATAGATCCTCGATGGACATCTCAGGCGGCTCATAGCTGTTGCCAAGCAACAGCCTTCCCCCTTTACACATTCCTTTTCTTTTTTTTTCATTTTCTCACATTGATGTCTCCCTCTCTGGGGTGAAGTGTAAAGGAAGTGGGCAATCTCCTGTGGCTGCTTTTTCCATTTGACCCTTTTGAAACACAGATTGTGAACTACGCACATGCACCCACAACCCCCACTTATCATTCGTGGCAATTTGGACAAGCACCTAAAGTAGATTTGGTACATTTTTAGGCGAGAAAAAAAAGAAAAAGCATGCTTAGTTTTACCTTGTGCGGTTTAGATCAATCTTACATGGGTCCAGCTCAATATACTTCTTCTCATCGAAGATGCGGTTAATGATGGGCTTCAGCACCTCGTGGAGGTAGAGCATGCCAACAGCCTGGCAGTAAAAGAACACCGTATGTTGAATACATCTTATTTTCATCTAGGATTCACAGGAGCGAGAGAAAATCAATAATTTACAATTAATGATCCAATAAAACAACAGATATGTCAATGCACCTTCATGAACTGTTCCATGGCCTTGGAGGCAAGGGAGTTGGAGCGAAATAAAGTGTTTGGATCAGCTATGAGAGCAAAACAGAAGAGAGATGGATTAGGCTTTCGGAAAATTATAAGAGAATTTAATCTCCAAAGTGCTTTTGATATAAATAAGTGAATAACAAAACTGCTGATTGTGAACCACAACACGCCTGGCAGAGCAACCAGTTCCACCTGAGACCGAAGACCTACCACGCTGCAACTTGCTGCACTTAAGTCCTTCAAGGTGGAGATACAAAAACATCCACACTGACAGGACTTGGTTGCCAGGTCAAGTATTTTAGTTTGGAAGGACAGAACATGTGGAGAAATGTGTACAGAAATTGTTTTGTTTTCTTTACCCCTGCGTTCAATTTTAATGTCTGGCTGCTAGCGACATCTATTCCTGACCGAGCAGTTACTGTTCGGATCATGTGGAGTTGTCATGGTAACATAGGCACTATGCTTATTATCTCAAACTACACCAACCAAACCCGACGACAAGAGCACAACTCTATTTACAGGGGGGGATGTTGTGTGGAAGCAAAAACATGACTAATACAGACAACAGAGAAGCCATGAAGAGAACAGAGGGTGAGTAAATAATTGGAATCGGGGTAGAAGACGTAGTGCCGTCTTTTGTCGGTCTTGAGCTGCCCACACATAGAACACAAATGTTCAGAGACCTTGATGTCATATCACCGTTTAAATAGAAGCATCCCTCAGAAGGTTTATCTGACTAATACAAATGCTGACAAATAGAGATGTGTGTCTGTTATGTAAATCACAATTGTTACACGCTGACATTATCAAAGTTATATCTCTGCGCATTAAAACCGCTTCACTAGTCAAAGGTTTGGACAGGCAATGATCCAACATTTCAAACAGTTTTGATGTTGTCCCTTTAATCCTACCGGTGTGGTTGACCTCCCGCGTGTTGAGGTAATCCAGGAAGGGCACCACCAGGCCCTGGCCCAGGTAGATCTTCACCAGAGTCATGGCCACATCCTGTCGGCTCTCAACCGTGTTGACCTCCTCCAGCATGGTCAGAGCACTGCTATCCTCCACCTGGGGAGAGGAGACCTCGGGTCATGAATCACTGCCAACACGAACACGGTGGTCTTCCTGTTTCCTGAAGCCAGAACACAGTGAGTCAAATGCAAATCCACTACTAAAATAACAACAGCGATCCTGACCTCTGTGGGGGAGATGACGGACTCCACCAGAAGGTGAATAAGAGGCTGATAGTACACAGACGGCAAGATCCGATCCTCCACCAAGCGCACCTTTAGACGCAGTGCTCCCAGCTTGCCACTGGCAAAGAAGGAAAATACCTTTTCAGAGTTTTATAACCAGAGATTTCTAAAAAACAATATTGAGGTGTCCTTGCGGTCGAGAGGTAGTTTTAACAGATTCTGTCTGTAGAGAACCACTGTTTTTTTCTTATTCTTTGGTGAAAGATGATATCTAACTCAGCACTTCAAACCTCTTATGTTGCCTTTTAGCTCTAATGTCATTTTGAACCTCTTTGTAACTCTATCTTTTGGTAGTTCACTCAGCTTTTTTTCTGTGATGATCTCAAAGAACCGACGCTGTTAGAAAACTGGTGATACACCTGTGAAAGGTCATTTAAATGCAAGGAAGGAAAAACATTCCAAAAGGCTTGTCTTAATTATGCAAACACACAAGAAATCGCAAGAGTCAAGAAGCGCAGCCATGATCCTCACCCAGCATCAACCTCATCGTTCCCCAAGGGAAGCAAGCGAAACCAGCCCTCCAACGGAGGTGTCTTGTGCAAACAAGCAAAAGGGATTTCCACCTGTGGAAAGAAAGAATAAACAAGGATACAGTATCACGGGAAAAAGCACTTTCAACTGTATGCAGATTATGGTGGTTCCAAATGAATCATATGATGTTGTGATTAGACCATGAATTGTATAAAAACATGCCATACTACATCATTCTTGCATCCTTACCTTTCCCAGAAAGTCATTCTTTCCCACCATGTCCCAGTCCCAGACCTCCACAGTGACAGTTCCCTCCTCCCTCAACTCCTCTGGATCTAACTCCAGCTCCAGGGTCTCCACCCAGTGAGGGAAACGAGTCTTCTTGATAATCTAAAACCCACGGTCGGGGTGTTAGCAGCTCCTAAAGCCTTACATGTGTACACCGATATGAAATAAAGTGACGGACAACCAAACAGCCATCAACTACAACAGCAGAACATATATATATATATATATATATGGCAGCCCAGAAACACGTGCACACAGATGGAGCTCACCGAGGTCTCCGCACTGTGGTTGTTGAAAATAACTCTTGTGAAAGGATCAGAGGTTCCAGAAATATCTCTTGGAGCCAAGTCTCTGTAGGCATCACCAGAACAAACAGCAGAGACAGACAGCAGAGCTGATCAAAACATCTCAAAAGCTCAACTCGTATTAGCAAAGAAAAACATCTACGACTTTTACACTCAACCTTTTTCCACCCAACTTGGTTCACACTCATCTGAGCATGTTTAAATAACAGAGTGTCAAGCTCTGACTGACATGCTCATTAGTGCCCAGCCTGAGAGGGAGAGATTGTAGCCTGGGATGCACAGATGGGGCAGTGAGTGGTGCGATGGTGGCAGTATGACTCAGGAGAAGAGTGTGGAGGCGGGCGGGTTGATGCTGATTAGATTTTGGCACAGAAGCACTGGTGGTATTGCCAGGTTTTCAGCTACAGTGAAGTATCTTCTGATCAATGATCAGTAGAATTTTTTAAAATCTATATAGATATGTGGTATTTTTGCTTCCAGAGTAAACCTGCCGTTAGAGTAGCAGGCTTGAGAGGGGTAGGTAGTAAAGGTAGTTGCTGTTCTCTGTTACCTCTGAATGAGAATGTGTTTTCCCTCACTGCAGTGGCAGATGCAGAGCTTAAAGCACACAGCGATGTTACCTGGCCTCAATAACTTGACATCGCAGGCTGATCTTCTCTGTATCTTTCAGTAGCTGCAGGCTCAGATGGATTTCTCCCTGGACTTCTTCATCCGGGTCGACCCTCGTCAGGTTCAGCCAGCTGTCCAGACCTGACCGTAGAGACACGGTTCATTAAAACAACGCTAATCTCAAGCATCGAACATTAAGAGAGAAGAATGCTTTATAGAATGCTTATAGACATTGTGCTTTTTGCTTTTGAGTAATAGCATTTTTTCAAACCAGTCTGTAATGCTGTCGAGTAGGTGAAGGCATGCAGGTAAATCATGTGATACTGTTTTGTCAGACATATCATATTCAATTGTATTCTGTTTTATTATTACACAGATATCAAACATAAGCAACGGTCCAATGTCATGGACAGACTGGGAGAACATTTCTGTGACTAACTGACTCAGTGTATCGCCGTGTAGAAGTGAATCACACGAGTGAAGGACCCGCCAGGTGGCTCTGGGGAGAGACGCGTCAGTATGCAGCCAACATTTCTGTCAAACACTGAGCGGTCTGATAAAACTGTAAGTTCATCTCCACGTATGATATTTAAAAATGCCGTATGTCTGACTCTGGGTGCATGTGGAGGAAAAAACTGTGACTCATTTTTCTGGGAGACAACACATTAAAATGGTTTGAAGCCATTTGAAATGCTTTGGTTGTTCACCTCATTTCACAGTGCTGCAGGCAAAAGGATGGTTTGTAATGCACAATGAAAAATAACTCAGTTCTTGCAGACAAGCACACGCTTAGTTGTCGCAATACCACATGCGGCTACGTGAATGATAATTTCACCGCCCGCGAGTTTGCACAGTTGAACTTGATTCTTAAATAAATGTAAGCGACTTACATGAAATGTGCGAGAGAGCACAGAGAAACATTCCCAGAGTCTGCGTCTAAAAAAGGCCCGTCTCTCACCCCCCCACTCCCCCCTCCATCACTTAGACCTTCGGTCGTGGGAAGCCGTGTGTTTTTAACCTTTGACTTCGCACCCATCCTGGTACAGATTGGTTCACTCATACCTTTAGCTTGAGATCCGATGGCTTCCTTGCTCAGAGTTATCTTTCCGATAACATCATCGTGACTGTAGAAAGATAACAGGATAACAGGAGATAACAGGAGATATTGTCAAATGGAAGCTACTTAAAATGCTATCAAAGTTGTTTATCTTGGTGGAGTTAAAGGAGGTGAATTTGAAGACGGACTGATCCGAGTGGTCACCAGAAGAGGAGAAAACAAAACACTAATCACTCAATCCTTGCGACCATTTGCCCGATGGTGTTTGTTTATCCCCCCAAAACATTTCAAAGTCCAAGTCGACTCATTCATCAGGCAAGTTAGGCAAACGGTCAAGGCTTCAAAGACAGTAAATCACATGGCAAACCCGGTCAAGAGCAAGCGGTTGTACATGGAATCGTTTTGATACGGCTACGTGTGACACTGTTACCCGATTGTGTCTTCGTCCATGACATGAAAGGAGAGTGAATGGAACCCCATCGGGAGGTGCAGTGTGTACTCTTCACCCCAGAAAGGACTGAGGTTCTTCCACACTGTTGCAGTCCTGAAAACAGAGGTTTCACACGTGTGCTTTTCAGACCTCATGCAGAAACACTTAACATGAATGTACGTATGCAAGAATGGAGCCCAGTTAGACAATGGTAGGAGGCTGAATTTGTGATTAACCGCAGTATGACTTATGGAAGACGTAGGGCTGTGTATAGAACCTCAATCTCAGGAAATCTGTCCATAGCCACAAAAACAGAAAGTTGGCACTGAATGTCTGGTCAGGTATTATTATTTAAACCACTACTTTGCCAATATCAGACCATCCAAGCGAAAATTATTTTACAGAAACACTGTTTATCATTGACGGAGAGGTATTTACAGAAATCTATATTTCAGTATCTAAATAGCAAACATAGAGCATACTGTTGATGGGTTTCAAAGGATTTAAAAGAATACTCTTTCTTTGGGAAAATTGAAACTGTTAGTACTAAATCAACCTGTTTTACAGACTGTGCTGTACTCACTATTTCCCAAACGCATCGTCCATTAACATCCCACCCGAGGAGTCAGTTGACAAGTCAAACTATCATTTAATTAGTGATGATCTGCACTAAATAGTTGTGCTGTTTTCTGTAACATGCCAGATGGAACAACAGCCATTGTAGTCAAACCATGTTTGTTCTTTAACACAGGAAATCTGGATTGGTGTCAAATTGCACCACCTGGAAATATCACACCATACTATAGTTGCAATTAAAAATAGCCTTTTATTTATTTATTTATTTATTTGTATGAAATAATTTGTACGTGTCCCAATCAAACTAAGGAACACCTCTGAACAAGCTCCCAGCATTCTCCTTGGTTACACCAGGAGCTTACTGCAATAATTGATGCACCCTCTCCATGGTTACATGCGTTGTTTTAAAGGCCAGTATCGGGTTCTCTGCATAGGACGAGCCGTGCTGTGGGCACCACCACCCCGATCGTTCTAGTTTACTTGTGCAGAGTTGCGAAATGCAAATGTTCCAATTGTGATGACAGATGATGACTTAAGTTGTGGGCAATATACTTTCTTTGGCTATCTATTAGAATACACCTCCCATGCACATACAGTATATCGCAGATCTTCATTTACAATCAGTGACCACTCACCTGGCCACAACTTCATTGTCAACTTTTACAATGCAGTATGGATCACTGGTCCCAGAGCTTCAGATGAAAATAAGAAGAAGAAAATCCTCAATTAACATAACGTTAATTCCCTGGACACATCGTGGCAGAAATTGGTGTTTCAAATCTAGGTTGACTGTTCTCCGATCGAATCAAGCTGATGAACATAATAATCCGCGAGAAGGCTGTATTATCCACAGGACACCAGACAGAAACACATGCCGTTCAGTCATTACTTACACGTCTTTGGCCGGGAGGTTCCTGCCCTCGACAATTCGAAAATAAAGAGAGGTGTTTTTGGCCATTTTATTCGAGGACGCTATTAATCCAGTTTCTCCTGTTCCCACACGGTCTTATAAATAGTGCTCTTCCCCTCCGCACGTGAGTTTTCTTCATTTCACGCCACCTTCAGTCGCGTGACGCCGCCGCACAGCCCACCAGTAGCGCGCGTGCAGCCCAGTGGGTCCAGCGCGTGGAACACGGCGGGTCTCCAGTGCGGTGTGTCAGTCTTATATCTGCTCTTCTGTCACACGAGCCAAATGGATGAACCCGTCACAAACGTCCGATTTGTAATACGCACAATCACAAGAGCGCAATACATTATTCGTTGTCATATTTGACATTGCTCACTGTGTGTTTTTAATTTACGTTATTGCCTCTTTTGTGTGTGTGTGTGTGTGTGTGTGTGTGTGTGTGTGTGTGTGTGTGTGTGTGTGTGTGTGTGTGTGTTAATTTAAAATGCCCGTAAACGTATGGCGAAAGCCTGGTAAATCATGTTCTCCGGAGCTCCCCTTCTCTTATAAAATGCGCCACCTGGCGGACACGTGGCGCTGCTGCACGCTCCATTGCAGACAGGCGTATTGACGGACAGCCACTCGGGGTCCTTAAACCCACTGCAAACAAAACAATCACACTTCCCTCCAGTCAGGTTGGATTAATCGCCGTTATTGTCCTCAGATGCAGGTCAGTATTTTAAAACTGTTTAAACACGGAGGGATTAAATGCAGCTGACGTTAGCTCGTCTCAACGTGTTGCTCTTTGCAGTTAAGGAGATGGATGTTTATCCCGAAGTCCCCGACGGCGACTCCACCAAACACCAAGAAAGGCACTACTACTTGTTATCTGAGCTGCAGACCCTGGTCAAAGATTTGCCAAGGTAGCGGTTCCTCACTCTCAAGTCAAACCTTCCTTCATGGGAATCAAATGAACGGTCACTCAGGTGCATCCACCAATGGTCATGATGATTGTTTGTGGTATGTTTATTTATTTTGGGTGGGGGGGGTGGTGGTGTTGTTTCTCTGATTAGCTCCTTCCAGCAGCGCCTGTCCTACAGCACGCTGGGTGACTTGGCCCTGGCACTCATCGACGGGACGGTGTACGAGATCGTGCAAGGACTCCTTGATATTCAACATCTCACCGAGAAGAACCTGTACAACCAGAGGCAAAAGCTGCACTGCGAACACCAGGGTTGGTGCTCTGCCCTCCTTTTTGGGGAAATGGACGTTCAAAGCAGGAATGCCTTTTAACTGCAGCTCCGAATCGAGATGTTTGACTGGTTATTACTCTTCTGTGCAGCACTCAAACAAGATCTCGCGCGGAAGCACAAAGATGCCGTGCAGTCGTGCAAGTCTCACAATCTTGCACTTCTGAAATCCAACCAACAAGCGGAGCAAGAGGTAAGCCGCAGAAATCTCAACCCCTGTGATCACTATGATTGTCGCAAGGTCCTTTTTGGTGTACTAATAGTTGTGTGTTGCTTTCATCAGTCTCTGGAGATGCGCGTGCGAGAGGAACAAAAAATGATGGATAAGAAGATTGTAGCAGAAATGGACCAAAAAGTAATAGACCAGCAGAACACCTTGGAGAAAGCGGGAGTCCCTGGATTTTTTATCACCACTAATCCTCAGGTGAACGCTTCCACCTGTCCAACTCACTGTGGTTTAAATGCGTACTAACACCACAACGGGTAGAGGGGTACCGAAAACGGGATCTTTGCGGTGCAGACAAATGCCCAGCAGATGGCAACACATGTCCTTACTAATTTCTGTGTTATTTCAGGAGCTGACAATGCAGATGAACGTACTTGAATTGATTCTCAAGCTTCAACAGAAAGAGTCACAATCTGGACTCCTTTGAGGAGGCCTAATTGTACCTGAAGAAGGGGAATGAAAATCCTGCAATAGCCACTGAGCGCATGTGCTCCTATTCCAGTCATAGTGAGATTCAAAAAGTGTTGTTTGACATTTGGCATTTGTTGTAATATTCACCATGAAAAACCAAAGGAGAAGGCTGATTTGTGAGTGTAAGAAGTGTGCCGTCTTTAGTAGAAGCAGGTGATGACAACATACATTATAGAGCACTTTGCTGACACGTCACAGGTGTGTTTTTCAAAAACGTTGAGCTACATTGTACATGTAGTTGAAGACCACGTTAAGGCTCCGTGAATTAAATTGTAGAAGATCGATATATTGCTGAAGGACACAGAGACTGTTGTTACTGGCACTAGTTCTTCATTAGGGCCTCCTGATACTTTTTATGGAAGTGTCATGAAAACATCATTGCTTATTTATATAAGTCATTTGTAAGTTGTAATTTCTTCCTTTCAAATATTTGTGCTACTTTTAATTGTATACACATTGTGTATGTTTTTTTCTTTTTATCTATTAGGTATGCCTTGTGTGGGTACTAAAGGTGTAAATTATATCTTTATCTAACCTTTGCATTTGTATTGCTTTTTTTTTTCAAAATCATTTTTTAAAGTTTTACTACCCACATAAATGAGCATCAATGAAGAATTCAATCAAATATATGATATACCTATGAACAAAACCAGTTTGGATGGCAGTATTGAATATCTGTTGATTTTCCATTGGAGGAATATTTGTTTTTGTAAAAAAAAATATATTTAAGTCACTCAAAATGCTTTGTGTGAGTTTTTATATTTTTCTTTCATCTCTGTCCTGCACTGCATTTGAAATGATTTCACTAGGCGGCTCTTCACTCAACGACGAGCCAATGAAGCAGGCACCTGTTCGACAAACTATCGAAGACCCCCACCGGCATGAAACACGGTGATTCTGCACCTTGATTCTGAAGACAGACCCGGGATATGTTAGATTTTCTCGCATTGATTCTACGTTTTCTTATTATTGCATTCACTTTATTGATAGACGCCCAATTGTACATTAAACCGTTTGTACGTACATAGGCTGCTTCTCTTTAAGTAATCCCCACCCATGTTTAAATTCATGTGTCATTGCGCACGCGCCCATGTGACCTTTCTGCTGTAAAGTGGGAGGGGCGCAGCGGGGAAGCCCTCTGCGCTGAAGGCGACTGTGCCTTTAAGAAACAAGTCCACGCAGCGCACGAAGGGCTTTTTCTTTCTTTTTTCCCGTTGCTATTATTCCTCGCCGCGCCTTCGGCTCCATCACCAGACGATGCACATCTATCTCTGCGCCGGACAGAAATGACAGACCCTGAACAACCACGGTAAAAGCGACGCCCGCCTTTCTCGTTTTATTACGGACGTCTCTTTCTAAGGTGCTTCGATGCTAAATCACGATAAATGTCTCACCTGCTCGGGCGCGAATGATTGAAACGTCGCTCCGCGCGGATGAACGTGACGTTTCGGAGGTTTAGTGGAATAACGATCGTCTTTTTGCCTCCGTTTCCATTTTGTTGTAAATTATTAATTTGGCGTTTTAAAAAAAACATTTTATTCCCGTCGTCGTCCGTTCCCTCCACCGAACGGTATTTTTTTGTCATTGATATGTAGCCTACTGAAGATGAATAATCTGTGTGGGCTGATATTTCTAGAAGGGAATAAAGCGTTACGTAATTCTGGCGGAGGCGTCCCGCTGTCGCCATATGTCCACCGAGGGCAGGAATCGGATGCTGCACCGCCCAGACCGGGATCTCACTGATGAAAAGCTGGAGCACATTGTTTGCAGTTGAGGAAATGTTAAAAATGCTCCATTTTCCATCTCACTTCGTCACAACATGTTAAGCTTTCATCCTCGTGGCGGATGACGTGGACTGGCTACGGAGTGATGGATGCTAAGCGCAACACATGCAAGCCTCTTGATCCATCTAGAATATGAACGTGCATCCAGTTTAGCCGTCATGCACATGTATATGTCTATGTTTAACACTTCAGACCATGTAACCTGCAGTAGTTTTTCCTCATGCATTTGTCAACGTTAGTCTATTTGTGCTCTTGTGTCTTGCAGGTCAGCCTGTTAAAAAAAAAGTAATGGATCCAGTGTGACCTTTTATTTTTTAACAACATCTCATCCTGCTGGCCTTTACAACTCGGTAGCTATGGAAACTTGTCCCAGAGGCTGCACCCCAGCGGTGCGCCTTTGTCAGAAACTGAACCGACTCAAGACACTGGATGATGACATGATGGCCACGTCGCTGAAACGCTGCCTCTCGACCCTGGACCTGACTCTGTTGGGGGTCGGTGGCATGGTGGGCTCTGGGCTCTACGTCCTGACGGGAACGGTGGCCAAAGACATTGTTGGGCCTGCTGTCATCGTATCCTTCATTATTGCGGGATTTGCCTCTCTGCTGGCTGCTTTTTGTTACGCAGAGTTTGGAGCGCGCATCCCCAAAACAGGATCGGCCTACATGTTTACTTACGTATCTGTGGGAGAGGTCTGGGCCTTTCTCATTGGTTGGAATGTGATTTTAGAGAACATGATCGGTGGCGCTGCTGTGGCCCGTGCCTGGAGTGGCTATCTGGACTCCATCTTTAACCACGCCATCCAGAACTTTACAGAGACACACATTATGCAGTGGAACGTGCCCTTCCTTGCCCATTACCCCGACGTCCTTGCGGCAGGCATTCTAGTAGTTGCCTCATTCTTTATTTCTTTTGGAGTTCAAGTGTCCTCCTACCTCAATCACATCTTCTCCACTATTAGCATGTGTGTCATCATTTTCATTCTGGTGTTTGGCTTCATTCTGGCTGAGCCGGTCAATTGGAGCAAGAAGGAAGGAGGTTTCGCACCTTTCGGGCTCTCTGGAATACTGGCGGGATCGGCCACATGCTTCTACGCATTTGTGGGCTTTGACGTGATTGCGTCTTCAAGTGAGGAGGCGAAGAACCCTCAGAAATCTGTTCCCATTGCCACAGCCATCTCCCTTGGATTGGCAGCTGCGGCTTACATCCTGGTCGCCACGGTGCTGACCCTAATGGTACCCTGGCACACGCTGGACCCCAACTCGGCTCTGGCAGATGCTTTCTTCCGCCGGGGTTACAGTTGGGCTGGAGTTATTGTGGCAATCGGTTCCATCTGTGGTGAGTGTCTACTTTCAAATTGGGAAGTGCAATTTAAACGTTTGTTGACGTGGTTATGCACGATACTGTTTTCTGATTCTGACTCTTTTTTTCTCCAAATTCCAGCCATGAACACTGTGCTGCTCTGTAATCTCTTCTCCCTCCCTCGGATTGTGTACGCCATGGCAGAGGATGGCTTGTTTTTCTCCATTTTCGCACGAGTCAACCCCATCACCAAAGTCCCTGTCAATGCCATATTGGTGTTTGGACTCCTCATGGCCACCATGGCTCTCGTCTTTGACCTGGAGGCACTGGTTCAGTTCTTGTCCATTGGCACCCTCCTGGCATACACCTTTGTGGCGGCGAGTGTTATTGTGCTGCGTTTCCAGCCTGACAAAACCAGCTCCAAGGGAACCGCTTCCACGTCGCCCAACCCTTCTGCCGGTCCGTCCGAGGCCCCCTCAGAGTCGCAGACCATAAACGAAGACAGCGGGGAGCTGAAGCAGTACGAGTCCTTCTCTGACAAACTCCAGTTGGTAGAGCGACAGGCCTCAACGGAGCACCGTGGGGTGGGACAGCTGAAGGCCTACTGGGAACCGTACCTGGGCAAGCTGCTGGGGCAGTGTGAGCCGGGCGAGGTGGTGGGTCACTGCGTGCTGACTGTAATAGTGAGCTCAGTCTCCCTCTGTGCGGTTGTAGAATTTGGTACCAAACAGCTGCATCTGCCCGCCTGGAGCTTCATAATGCTGCTGGTGATTTTCAGCTTAGCTTATGTTCTCAGCCTGACACTCATCTGGTTACACGAGCCACAGACCAGCAGCAAAACATTCCAGGTGAGCTCCCTCATGGGCTTTGCAACTCTTACACGACTCTCTCAACTAAACTCGTGTTTGCTCAACTGCATTCACCGTCCTGTTAGAAACATATGTTTAAATTGTTAATCCCGGGGACATTTACTTATTAAAAGGCAATTGTCATCATCATAAAATCTACGTCAACTATGATTTGAGACTAATTCATGTGTTATTGTTGTGTAGGTACCCTTGGTTCCATTGACTCCAGCTGCCAGTATTCTCATTAATATATTCCTCATGATGAAGCTCAGCTACCTAACCTGGATTCGTTTCACCGTATGGATTGCTGTAGGTAAGAAGGCACCAGAACTCAGGCAGAAAACATACTGGCTGAAGAAAAACAAAAAAAATACTCTCCTTTTTTGTAAAATGCCTGGAAAACAAAATCGCAATTCAAATACACGTTCTTCTCAACTTTTACAATGGCATGCACAAACATTTCTTTACATTTTCTTAGTCTAAATTTGTTTGTATGACGGGAGTATCATTTTTTTGATGCAAAATATTTTTATGTTGGTATTTTAGCATTTTTTTCCCATTGTCTGTCGATCAAGCCCATGGTGTTTAAAGGCTTTAAGGGAGCAGACAAGGTTTTTCCTTTGGTCAACAACCCTGAGGAAGTGTAGATGGTTATCAAACGGTATTAGTGCCCTGTCATGGGGAAACATGGTTAGCTGCATCAGCTTAAGGCTTCTCAAATAAGCCGTTTTAAGAATAATGTCACATGCAGCAAGTTAATGGGAAGCGCACACATGGAATTTTACATTTGACAGGTCTTCAGTCTGCGCTCTCAGAACAGTTAAGGCTTACCGGCATGAAATAGCCAATGAAGAAGAAATGCAAAACGTGGGATTTCTACATTTGAAAGTTCAGGTGGAATTAAGTTTAGCTATCAATATTAGACCAAGACTGAATGCAAATAAAATGTAATGAATGTACTGCATTTGTCTGACTAGAAAATACAAAGCCTGTTAATAATTTGATGACATTTGTCAACAAACACTATACAAAAAATAAATGGATTTCTTGATATTTTTCTAAAACCAAATAGCAATACAAAATTGAAACATCTTTCTCACCACACACCTGTGTGCAGCACTCTTTTCTTAGTTTAGAGTCAATATGGTTACAATTGTTGTGTGTTTTTTACTTTCCCAGGTCTCTTAGTGTATTTTGGCTACGGAATCTGGCACAGCAAGGAGGGACTGCGGGCGCTGCAGCCCAAAGACATGGCCGCCCGCTACGTGGTGCTACCCAGCGGCAGCCTGGTAGAGACGGTGCAGTCCGTCCAGCCCGATGGACAACCGGACACCTCGACGCACCACGTCACCCCCTCTGCTGCCCCGACATCTGAGGAGTACGCAGGAAATAGATGATGTGTGACCAAAAGTCATTACTACGTCCCGGTAATGTCTGTTGTCTCCCACTCATGTGCTTCAGTGTCTCACTCTGGTTGGCGCGTGACTCGCCCGCCACAGTCTATACTCGTTGCTTTCCAAACGTAAGCAGGATGGGATGCACGCTCTCTGTCCTGTTGTGAAGCCTATTTGTATATCTTGTAATACTTGAATGTACACTAGGGAGCTTTATTACTGTCCTGTAAACTTCTAGCATCAAAGTTGTGTTTAATTCCTTTTTTTCTTGCCACATTGCCAGTTTGTAGACATTCACGTGGTTATGTTATATATATGGTGCTTTCTTTGTGACAAGTGTGTAGTTAAAGGTGCAAAAGTGATATTCAGAGCATTAACAAAGCAACAAGGTCATGACCTCCCCTACCCCCCGCCCTGAGGTAAACCCTGTTTGCCTGGTTAGTACTGCCGTTCCCATGTTGAGAGCCGCGAGGAAGCAACAGACATGTTCTGAATTTTATATAGAGGGCCTTTAGGTACACACAGTGTCGATGATTTTTTTTTTTTTTCTTCAAATGCTTGAAATAACACAGACCGGAAACTGGACAATAATTTAAAGCATATTAAGCAATCTTACGTTGCATGTGTCAGTTTTTCAGCCAAGCAGAGGTATGCACAGTCTTTTGTGGGTTTACATGTTTGCCTTTTTCTCACAAACCTCAAGAGAAACTACAAACTCTAATAATAATTTGGATTGTCTTTGTCCATCTTCTCCTTTTGGTACTCGTAGACTGCCCCAAGAAAATAGTTTATGGAAAATGATTTACTCCCATATTTGAAAATATGTACTCAATTTTCCATTATTGCTTTTTACATAGATCTCATTAGCTTTTGAGTTGTATTTTTCCTTTTTCAATGTCTGTGTTCTATGCTTTGCATGTGCATATGTTCTTCATTAGTCATTTGTGTTCACCTTTTTAGTGACAACACTTCAGTGCTTTAGTTAACGTCATACATGATGATCCCATGCCCTTGTCCAGCCCTTTATCAAATGTGTTAAAACAGCAGCCTCTTGCCCTGTCTCCTTGTTGGTATGAGATTAGAAAATGTATAGATTGAGCCTTTTATTTAACGGGATACCCCTGATTTATATATAAATATATATATATAAGTCAAGCACAAACCTTTTGAATGGTGATCTTCACACACAGGGTAGAGTATTGGCAGACAGGCAGACTTTTGTTTGGTTAAACCTAAGATGTCTTCCATGTCTCTGAGGCCTCCGTAATCCCACAAGATTTGCATCAATCCCTGTCGGCAGTCTGCAGTGTGACCTAGATTAGAGACGGGCACTCATCTTATATGGAGAGCATTCATACAACCCACACCTGTAAACAATGTCAATAAGTGAAGGATGTTTTATGACATAGGTAAATTTACTTAAAATATCTATGAATTTTGTTATCATTCATTTTAATTTGTGTTTGCATTTGTTGCATAAGAAACCGATGGCCTTAAACGTGTTGTGACGAATGCAGACTAATTCCCAAAGTTATTTATCAAGTCTGTTCGATTAAAAAAAAAAAACTCCTACACAGAACTTTCATGATTTCCATTTACTAAACTTAAATACAATCATGGACGTAGAGTTTAAGTAGGAGGCATTTTGGCAATCGTAGAATTTTGTACAACTTTGCACAATGAAAACTATTGTCTAGTCATTTTCTGTTTCAGTCATGCTTTGCATGTCGGGGGTCAGTAACAGATATTGATACTGTGGTGCTTTATAAGCTCAACATTCTGTCGCCTCTTTCTCTGTCTGTGTTGTGCAAGGAGCACAGTTATAAATGACACAATTATTTTCTCACTTCTGAATTGTATTGTACTCTTTACTCACTCTTTGCACACAAGTTCTTAAATATTTCTGTTATAGTGTAGGTCTGTATAAAATGCTAAAGACTGTGTTATAAATGAAAAATAAATGTTTTAAAACAGCATTTACAGTTTTTATTGTGGATAAATAACTTTAATAATAATTTTACAGAGCCCAGTTACAAGAATGGAAAAAACCCTTATGTTGTACCGTCAAGCCAGCTCAGACAAACCTTGTCACTGAAATACATCACATTTACTTGCTAAATACATTACGTCACACTTGTTTTGTTTTTAAAACCAGATAAAATATCATTTTCTCTTCATTACTGAACTTTCTCTTTGTAAAAACACAACTCATCTCACACTCATTGTTGTCTGTAACATAAATATAAAAGTATTTTTGTTTAGTGCTTTTGATTGACTTGTCTAAATGCCATAGTTGATATGAAATAATCGCTTTGTCTTCTTCCATTGCATGCATGACATTCACACAGCTGTGTAATTAAACCCATTTAAGGATTAACCTTAAGGTCATCAGCGGTCTTTTAAGGTGACAAAATTAGTGTTGGTATGACAAGTATGTTAATCGGATGTTTGAGGTTATTACTCATTTTCACTGTCAGGTTTTACACATACAACAAAAGAACAAATAGTGGATATGTTTGACTTCAACAGCTCTGACACAAGCTAACGTTTAGTCTGTTGCAGTCCAGATTAGCCAGCTGAGCTGAGGGCATTTTAAATGACCACTGCAGAGCAAGCATCAAGACATGCAGTCTAAAACCCAAAACAAACGTTACCTAACAAACACAATGTGGTCTCCATCTCGGAGCACTCACAATAACTGAGGTTAACTTGGAGGGACTGGAAAAAAGATCTGTGGTGATACAGCACAGCGTGAATCCTGTGAGCACCTGCGTTTCCATGGAAGCCCTCATTGGTTAGCACTTAAAAATCCATCAACACATTTGTCTCTGTGAGAATGTCTGTGTGACGCTCAATGTTGTACAAACATCGTCTGCTGTGAAGGCCACCCATTCATGTGCAAACAGCATATCGTTTAACCTGAAACCTAATATACAATAGACATCAATACCCTATAAAACAGATATCCACAATTAGTTGATATCTATAATGTATGTATTCACCTTGACATACTGACACATGTAGTGGTTAAAATGGTAATACTCCAGTGTCATAACTCGACAATGTAATTTAATTGACAATTACTAAAGAATTAGTATTAGTCTGGTATAATGTACACTAATATATCATGACATATTAATGTGGGGGATCTTTTTTATGAGCTTTGCAGTCGTCCTTTCTCACGCCAATTGCAGGAAGGTCTTCAGGGTTTGTTGTATTTCCTCTGATTTGAGCTTCTGGAGCGAGAGAGAAGAAAAGCACGGCGTGTTTTTGCATGGCTTTTAGCAGCGTCCGTGTTGAGTCGGAGGGTTTGAAGGTGAAGCTGCAGGGAGGAGGGGGAAGCAGTGGAAACACGATCCTCTGACCCGGCTGACAATAGACCGCTTTCCACTCCACTCGCTTCCCTCGCTCTGTTATCGTGTTCCAGCTCGGCTGCACTGCTGCTCTGCCTGTGGCACAAAACACAGTGAGATTATTATTCATTTGTAAAAACGTATGCATAATACTTAATGTTTTCAAAAGTAACAATTTGATCAAATCAAACTCACAACAAACACTTTTGCATTGGTGTCAGGCGATTTTGTTGCCCTCCGACCGATGAGCTGTCCAGAGAGGGGCTGCAGGTCTGCTGATCTGAGGCTTCCTGTTGATAAAACCACATAGTCTGATATAAACTCCGACATCCAAGACACCACGTCATTCACACCAAGTCGCATATTTTTATATACTCACCCTGTTGGCATTATTTTGTGCTCTATGCTTCAGCTTTAAAAGGCTGGAGTACAGGGTACTGTTTTCTTGCTCCAGAATTTTTGTACGGATGCTATTTGCCTGAAGTTGTTGCTCCATATCCAAAAGCACACTTCCTGTACCTTGAAAGGTGCAATAAACAAACACTCATAACATGACTGCGTTGTTTAAGAAAGGAGTAGGGACATAAACGAGTGCATGCATGCTTGGGTGTATTCCAAGTTATTTGCTGTTCCAGAGGAGTGGCACTGAGCAAGTTGTATTTACATTCAATGTCCGTCAGTGGATGTTTCATGCAAAATGTAAATATTGTATAGACAAATATTGCACTGCTGCCGTCCGTACTCTTTGGTTGGTCCAGAGTCACAGGGCTGAGCTCTGGGAAAGCCACCAACAGCCTCTCTCTCTCCCTCAAAGCTGTCACATACTCCTTTAGCTCAGCCACGCTGCTCTTTAGCTCGCACGTGTACGTTTCCAGGGTCCGCTTCTCCTTTTGGAGCTCCAAGCACAAGTCCTGTTGGACAGAAGCATCGCAGTATGAGAAAGTAATTTTTTTAAAAAGTCATAAAAAGGATGCAAATGTGAAGCTGGACTCAAGAACTCCAGTAAACCTGCTGCTCAGCAAACTGAGCCTGAACTTGTTCCTTGTCCTCAGTCGTCTGTTGCAGCTGATTGTGAAGGTCGAGCTGTCTCTCCTCGCTCTCCACCAACTGCCCCCGCAGCTCTTCACACTCTTCGTCGAGAGCGTCAACTCTCTCTAACAAAGACGTTTGCTTTGCCTGCATTGACTAGGCGCACCCATACACAAAGACACACAGACACACACACACACACACCCAAAACATGTCTACATCTATTTGAATACAGTTATGGACCATAGCTAAAAATAACATCATTTTTTTGACGTCACTGACCTCTTGCTGACGGCAAGCGCTGTGGTACTTTGCATTCTCTTTGTCAAGATGAAGTTGAGTTTCAGAGATTTGACCCTCTAACTGTTGGATCTTTTGCTTCAGTGTGAAACAGGCCTCTTCCTCTGCGTGCAAAGTCCTTACTTTATCCTGCAGCACGTTGGTTTCTTGTTCTATCGCATAATCAAAACGGCCCATCAAACAACAGGATATCAGGTTGTTTTATTTGTATTGTTGGTATTGTATTTTGGTCTCTCTACCTGAATATTATGTCCTTACCAAGTACCTGTAATGCGTCACGCTGTACTTCCACTTGCTCTTTCAGTCTTGAATTACTTTCTTCCAAGCCCAATGTTTCTGTTACAAAAATAGCAAAAATATGAAGTATGTGATTGCAATTAGTTGCGATCACATTCATTTTTGACATTTCTGCACCTCTCTGAAGTTGTTGCTTCTCCTCCTGCAGCCTTTTCTCTGTTTCTTTCATTGATCTTTGTGCTTTCCTCAGTGAAAACTCCAGCTGGACTATGTTCACTTGGTGTCTTTCCATCTCTTGCTTGAACTCTTTCTGTTTCATCTCCAGCTTGGACCTGAATCTCTCGCGCTCAGCTTCTGCTTCTGCAAGTCTATCTTTGAGGGGCTGCACAGTATTGCGCACATCTTGAAGATGTTTTTCCAGCCGGCGCATGTCTCTCAGCTGCTCGTTGGCCCAGAGGGCCACATCGCCTGCTGTCATATGTCCCAGCCCCAGGGTGTCTCCCACGGCTACTAAGAGCGGCTGCAGAGACGAGGGCAGGCTCTCACTCTGGAGCAGTTCCACCAAAGCATGCCCGGTTTTTGTTAAAGTGGATTGCACTTGGTGGCATGCGCTGCAGGGAACAAGGGACGATTCAACGGTCTGGCAGCTGGCGTTGTGGCTGTCGGCTTTAGGACGGCGCGGGGTGTCGAGTGCTGCACCGGACGGTACGTGATTCCGGGGCAAAAACTGAAAGGAGCTTGTTGAAGACCAGGCAGAAGAGCCGTATCTGCACGAGCTCATTTGGGGGGAGACCGATGAAGCTGTCTCTGATTCATCAGAGTCAAATGGCTTTGGTTTAGTTTGTTCCTTGATGTCTTTACATGTCCCCTAAAATAAGAACAACGGCAAAAAAAGAAATTCAAACTCATGTTTTATCTTCATCTCAACAAAAACAATGTCCCTACCTTGACGTTGGCAAACTGAACTAAATTACTCCAATAATTTCTGACGACAAGACCAACTGACAGACATCCTCTCTGCTGGCTGTGTTCTCTCCTGTGGCTCCACCTCATTTTCTCAACATACGCATTGAAGCTTTGTTGAAGAAGCAGTAGTCTTCAGCGAAAAAGAGAGAAAAAGGATAAATATTCAACAACAACAACAACTATTGTAAAAAGGTGTTCATTTGATACATGTATTACCTGTCAATCACCAGCTCCAATAACACGATGTGGGAATGTTGATTGAATTCATCCTCGCCATCCACAAAGTCATATTGCTCCAGCAGAGCTACCATGTCCAGATTACACGAGAGTTTATCGGGGAACTTCCATGAGGAAAAGCGGACCGGTCCAGTTCTAGAAAAGACATCCAGAATCGCCCCTTGAAGGTCAACGACGTCTTTTCGGATGCTTTCGATACAGTCCTGACGACCCAAAAACTGACTCATATCTGACAAGGTGTTTTTGTTTCGACACGACACCGAGGGCAAGGAGGTGTAGTTTGTTGAAATCACATCGCCTTGGAAACCAGCAGACAATACTCCAAGCCCCATAATGCTTTGCGGCAAGTGTCCGGAAGTGATACGTCTCTATTGGGTCAACGAAAGCGCGACCGAGTAAGTGTTTGACTACAGTGAATTTATAATTAAATGTTACACATTGTGTTTCTAGATAAATGAACGGCATAAGTTGTGTATATAAAATACATACGTCTTCTTGTTATTTTGGTGTTTTGCAGGTTAACTGCTACATCCAGCTTTAACCGACAATAAGACCTCGCCATGCCGCCTGGGCCTGTTCAGATTGTTCAGCCGGAGCCCAACAACAAGGTTACTAACGTTAATCATGTACATACACCAAATGTAACGAAAATACTGTTTCCGAGAGGGGAAGCTAGTGAACAATGTACGATTTACTGGCGAATCTGAACGAAGGTGAATTGCAGAGTAGTATATTTCGGATCGTTCGCACAAGGCGTAAATCGTGTTAGCTTATGTTAGCTTTTAGGGTCAATTAACGAGCACCGCTGACGTTACCTTTAACGTTAACTAAACGAAATCAGATGTTTTTAAATATTTTCATGTTGGCATCCGAAACGTTTACTCGGAGACAATATTCACCGTGATGAATTTTACAGAGAATCTATTGTTACCCGATTAGGATTTTAGAATGTGTTCCTTATGAATGAGCCGCAGGTTTAAGGATAGAAGCATCAGATGGCTCACAACATCTTATATTAAAACTAAATCCATATGCATAGCATAATGCTACAGGGGGTAAGGGTTTGTTGTCTGTTTTGAATCTTGACAGTGAATAGGAATCAGGACTCTTTAATCTTGCATATTACAAATGCAAAGACCTAACAAATATGAATTTTGCCAACAGAATGAGGCTCCAGCAGAAGAAACCCCTGCCACGAAACCCATCGTTGGCATCATTTACCCGCCTCCTGAGGTTCGAAACATAGTTGACAAGACAGCCAGCTTTGTTGCCAGGTTAGTAACTCCACGTGTATTAATTGTTACATATCATATATAAATTAGGAGAGATGAATATAACAAAGGCCTTGTCATTTAACAGGAATGGACCCGAGTTTGAAGCAAGAATCCGTCAGAATGAGATCAACAATCCAAAGTTTAATTTCCTCAACCCAAATGACCCGTACCATGCCTACTACCGTCACAAGGTCAATGAATTCAAGGAGGGGAAAGGGCAGGAACCTTCTGCGGCAGTGCCCAAGGTTATGCAGCAGGCCATGCTGCAATCTCAGCTTTCTCAAAAAGTAAGAAATGGCATTTTAATATGGGTTTTCTTTTGGTTAGTGCCCTTTTAAATGTTTTTTTAATACGTTGTATTTGTCAATAGGTGCAGGTGATTCAAGAGGCGGTGGTCCCCAAAGAACCACCTCCAGAGTACGAGTTCATTGCGGATCCTCCATCTATCTCAGCATTTGATCTTGATGTTGTCAAGCTCACGGCCCAGTTTGTTGCCCGCAACGGCCGCCAGTTTCTCACTCAGCTCATGCAGAAAGAACAGAGGAACTACCAGTTTGACTTCCTGCGGCCGCAGCACAGCCTTTTCAACTACTTCACCAAACTCGTTGAGCAGTACACCAAGGTGAGCCTTACACATTGATCCCCTGATATTACCGTTATTCTGTGCGTGGGAGGGGATGCTAAACTACGTCTTGATTTTGTTGTGCCAAATGTAGATTCTGATCCCTCCCAAAGGCCTTCTGATCAAGCTGAAGAAAGAAGCTGAGAATCCACGAGAGGTTATGGATCAGGTAATCCCCTTAAACTGTTACTGGTTCTCACAGTAAACTATGAATATCACGTTGCCTGTATTGAGCCGTCTTTCTGCACAACCTGTAGGTGAAGTACCGTGTTGAGTGGGCAAAGTTCCAGGAGCGTGAGAGGAAGAAGGAAGAGGAGGAGAGAGAGAAAGAACGTGTGGCATATGCCCAAATTGACTGGCATGACTTTGTGGTGGTTGAGACGGTGGATTTCCAGCCCAACGAACAGGGTAATCTATCATTGACTACTATTAAACATGTAACATCCAAAATGGATCTAGAATTGCTTATTTATTATCTTCATTATCCCAGGCCACTTCCCCCCACCTACCACACCAGAAGAGCTCGGCGCTCGCATCCTGATCCAAGAGCGCTATGAGAAGTATGGAGAGAGTGAGGAGGTGGAGATGGAGGTTGAAAGTGAGGATGACGACGATGAACGGGCGGTTCGGGGCGAAGGCCACCCCTCACAACCGGATCAAGACACACAAGTGCAGGACATGGATGAGGTAAGGAATTATAACCATATGAACGACTGTGACTTGTAAACTCCCGAGCCTCGCCCAAACGCAAGGTAAAATGGTTTGATTAGCTGGTAACAGCAAATAATTACATTCACCCTTTTTTGCTTTCTTAAGGGATCTGATGATGATGATGATGGTATGAAGGCTCCATTGCCACCAGACAACCCTATGCCACCCCCACTGCCGCCTACTCCAGACCAGGTTATCATTCGCAAAGACTACGACCCCAAAGGTAACACCAGCTCCCTTTTCGAGAGGGAAAACTAATATCATAACAAACTATCTACAACGTGCTAATCTTAAACCATTGCTTCCTTACAGCTTCCAAGGCTCCGCCCTCGATCATAACTCCAGACGAGTATCTCATCTCGCCAATTACTGGTGAGAAGATCCAAGCCAGTAAGATGCAAGAGCACATGCGTATTGGTCTGCTGGATCCGCGCTGGCTGGAACAACGGGACCGCGGCATCCGAGAGAGGCAGACCGAAGATGAGGTCTATGCCCCCGGTTTGGATATCGAGAGTAGCTTGAAACAACTGGCTGAAAGGCGAACGGATATCTTCGGTTCGGAAGAAACAGCCATCGGTAAGAAGATTGGTGAAGAAGAAATCCAGAAGCCAGAGGAGAAGGTGAGCACCGCCATGGCTTTATGCCGCACACTGAGGGGTCCGTTTTTAGGAATTGAGTCAGTAACTTTTAACTTTCTCCTTCCATGTCAACAGGTTACATGGGACGGCCACTCTGGCAGCATGGCTCGTACCCAGCAGGCAGCACAGGCCAACATCACCCTGCAAGAGCAGATCGAAGCCATTCACAAGGCCAAAGGACTGGTGGGAGAGGACGACGCCAGGGAGAAAATTGGCCCAAGCAAGCCGAGTGAAATTCATCACCAGCCACCCATGCAGTCTCAAATGAATATGCCCAAACCCAATCCCCAAATGACGATGCCTCGCCCAATGCAGTCTGTGAGTAACCGCAAATTTAAAAAATGTAAAACTTTTAATAATGAAATTACAAAACGAATAACTCGCTAATGTGTTCCTTGTTAACAGATGCCACAAGTGCGCACCACTCTCCTGTCTGCTGTACCTGTGATTCCGAGACCCCCGATGTCTCCGGTGGTGCGCCTCACACCAGGTCACGTTATAGCATCCATGCCTCCCATGATTCCTGCTCCCCGCATCAATGTGGTCCCCATGCCGCCACCAGCACCTCACATGATGGCACCCAGACCACCTCCCATGGTTGTTCCAACTGGTAAGATGGAGGTTTCCGCACACTTATCCCTGACATTCAAAATGAATGCGCGAGTATTTAGGGCATTCGTTATGATTTTAAATTGAAATAACTTTTTTTCTGTCAGCATTTGTCCCCGCCCCTCCAGTACCACAACCCCCAAGCTCTGCTCCTGCGCCACCATCCCACCCGCCGCCACCTCATGACGATGAGCCAGTCAACAAGAAGATGAAGACAGAGGACAACCTTATTCCAGAAGAGGAGTTCCTTCGTAGAAATAAGGTGCGTTAAAACAGTAAAATACTATTTGTTCATTTCCATTTGCCAATGGTGAATTCTGCCATCTGCATTTCAGACAAAAATCTAAATACTGGTTTCAAACTTTTTATTAGTGCCACAATGATCCGCGTGTTTTTAGATATACAGATAGCCATGAAAGTGTAATGTCTGTACATGAATAAAGTAGGTCTGGGTATATGTTATGTTATATGTTATGTGAAATTCAATATCCCTGGATTTGATTGGTTTATCAAATCAGCTATAGCTAAAGTTATACAGCTGTGATGGATATTGCCAAACTATTGCTAATCTCATCTTTTTCTTTTTTCCTTTTCAGGGTCCTGTGGCAGTCAAAGTACAGGTACCCAACATGCAGGACAAGACCGAATGGAAGCTGAACGGCCAAGTGCTCAATTTCACTGTCCCGCTCACGGATCAGGTTCGTAACGGGTGGCTTATTATTTTCTTGTTTCTAAGTGAGTTGTAAGCATGTGCAACTACTGCATCTTTATGGATCTGCAACTGCAATGTCTCCACAGGTATCTGTTATTAAAGTCAAAATCCACGAAGCTACGGGCATGCCAGCAGGAAAACAGAAGTTACAATTCGAGGTAAACTGTCATTTGAATTCGCTTTCCTTGTCCCCTTTTTTGAACCCCAAATTGTTTAATAATCTATGGGGGTGTTTTTGGTTCCTTTAGGGCATTTTCATCAAAGATTCCAACTCGCTGGCTTATTACAACATGAGTAATGGCGCCGTCATCCACCTGGCACTCAAGGAGAGAGGTGGAAGGAAGAAGTGAGACATGCAGCAAGAAGAAATATTTTACGTGAATGTCTTTTCACTCACTCTTGTCATGGCATTTTAGCTAACAACATTTTTCAAAAAGGATTTCCTTTTATATTTTTCTTTTTCGTCAACTCCGAATGCTTAAGAAATTTGTACCAAACAGGCAGACACTGCTTCCCAATGTTCAACTCTTGCTTTCTTCATGATCTCATACATTATATAGTAACTTGTGACATGTAGAAAGCCATGATGCTAAATAAAGAGATACAAACATGTGTTGTGTTGCTTCATGGGGTGAAAGGTTAGCAACCGTTTAACGTGACTGCGCATTCAGACGAGGATTAGTGATGTAGACTAAACACCACATCGATGCAAGGTTAGTCTGGAATAAAATGGTGGTTCACTTTGGAAAAGTGTGATTGTTTGAATTGCAGTGAGGGAGAAAGCGTTTATAAACCAGCGCATGTTGTTTTTGTTCCAGACGTAAGCTTGACTTTGTAAGGCGGCCGCTAGGGGTAAACGTACCAACCCGCACCGGAGACTTCTGGGTCGAGTCTAAATCTGTCCCGCACACTCGGGATGACAGGACGGCGAGTCGAGACATCCGTTCGCTGAGGACGTGACAAACTAGTCCGTTGACCGTCCTACACATACTTTTTTTTTTAATGGCTAACTATGAAATACAAAGTGATTATACCGGGTCAGCTCGTTGAAGGTAGGATCACCGTAAGAAGAGTTGCGGATTGTAGCGCTAGCTTTTAAAGCTAACTTCGTTAGCAGGCTACCGTTAGCTAGCTAATGTTAAATCAAAATAAGCATTCAATTTGACCTCCGCTAACTAACGCTCCTGACCATTCACTGTGGCTCCTTGGTTACGTTTGACGGCACCGAACACTTACAGACGAAACAGTACTTGGGAAGTTTTTCTCCCGTTCGGGAATCATGGCGTCGACGTGGTTTAGTTGGACAACATATGCAGAGGAGCAGTTGTGACTTCGGGCTGTCAACAAGCTCGCTGACGTTAGCTACCCTGGCTAGCCAGCTAGCGTTAGCTCTCTTGCTACCATGGCCAGAATGGAGAACGGCCGTCAGTCGATGGACACGAGAAGCATCCGGACCATCAGCAGCAGTCGCATGGACGACGAAAGCTCCTTGGGGTCCGACTCTGAGATCAACGGATTCACCAGCGACAGACAGACGGACAAATACGGATTCATCGGCGGGGCTCAGCAGCACACGGAGGAATCGTAAGTGTTTCCTCGACTCGCTGCTTCATTGCCATTGATTTGTTCAAAAGCGGCGAACTTGATTTTTTTTTTCCGGTTTATTTTTATTCCACCTCAGCAAAAGATAAGCAGAGGATCACGATGTGTTCGTTGAAGTAGCGATGATTACTTGTCACAAGTTGTGTTGGTGTGTTATCGTGGTGCTCCCTACCTGCTGCGTGGCACTGTGTGCTTCACATCAACCAATGTGAATGTGAAGAATACACAGCCAGTTGTAGCATGTGCTTATCTTCATTCCCTCAATAAACTACTGGTTTCATAGATAACGTTATATTTATTATTAATATTAAACCATTCAGTTTGTTGTTGAATTAATTAATTCACAGACTTTGACACAAGTTGCAGTGTTTTTTTCTTTTCTTTAAGAAGGCTTCTTTCTCTCTTTGTAATCGGGCCCTTGAGCCCACATTACAGCACTGACCCAGTGGAAGGAGTGAAGAGAAAGTTGTGCCGAGCACCGAACCGGTTGGCTCTGGGCTTCCTGTTTTTTGGGGAGTTTTGGGCCGACTTGGAGCCACAGCTCTGGAGCCCCGTTCCTGCAGGGCCGTTCCTGCAGGGCCTCTCCTGGCTCCCTGTGCCGTTTGGCTGAGATTTGAAGGTTGCTCATCGCTTCTCGGGGTCTTTAGAAGCTGAAGCTGGAGAGTCGAATATTGTTGTACCGATCCCCTTTGTGCAGTGATTTTCTTTTTGACTGAAAGACTGCTTTCCCCCTGAACCGTCCTTGAAGACGTTTTGAACCCTACGATTAAAGGCTTGTGTCGGTGAGATAATTACATACCTCAGTAGAGCATCAGACCGTATTCATGAAGTAGGTTGGCCTTGCCTACATTTTCTTTTTCTGCGAGAACATTACTTGCCCTCCCTTTTTATTATTTATTTATTTTCAAAGTCTTAACAGGCGAGAGGCTAGATGTGAGTTTGTGTGTTTTATAGCCTCCTTAAAGCGAGGTTCACTGCTCAATGACTGTATATGAACAATGGCCACCTACGCAGATCTGAGGATTTTTTTTGTTTTCGTCACACCCTCCCAATATACTGCCTATTTATGTTCGGCCAATTAAAATATTTATTTGAGTCGGGAGACGGAATTTAGATTTTTCAGTCTCATTTGGTTTAATGTTGAATTAACGTCACAAAATGTGAATTCTTTCCTGTCTTTTCTCCACTGCGTCCCCAGAGCGCAGGATTTGCCCCCACAAGTGCTCCGGCAAAGGGAGCTGAAGTGGCTGGACATGCTCGGCCACTGGGATAAGTGGATGATCAAGAGATTCAACAAGGTCAGACCCAAATATAAACGCAATAACACAAAGCAGCGAGGTGCTCTGGTCGCATTTTCGGTTCGTACAATTCTAAATCTTTTTTTCAATGCGCACATCCCCGGTTCACCCCTGATGCCCATGCTGCGAAGGATCAACCCATAGTAGCTACACCCGCTCCAGTGTTCGGTGGACGCAGAAATAGCCGCTGCACTTGTCCCGCTGGTTCGGTGTCAAGCACTCAGCAATTCAGCACAGGGCTGCAGTTTCACCTCGTCTGCATGCGTCAACAGCACGGCAGGACACAGCCCATCCCTTTATCGTCCCATGCACCATGTGACAAATTGACAGTCTTAGATTTAGGGCGGGGCTGTGGTTGATTTCTATGAGAAGAGCTGCATGTAAAATAACCGACACGAGTGAGGGTTTCTGATCCCTTTATTGTGCCCTCGTTGTTCATAATAATGTTACGGAAGGGCCTCCTTGGGGAAGCCAGCTTCGTATTAAAATGAAAAATCAATAGAATCCAGAAATTGTATTGGAAGTGTTTGTTCAACCAACCAATGTATTGTGTCAAAAGTGGCATGAAACTATATGACGTATTATAGATAGTTACTGAGACACCCCGCCCAAGTTATGCTCGAGGTATTCTAAGGAAGTATGTAGGCGTGCAGCCCTGTTCATATGAGTACAATACATAGTTTGGTCAATACTTGCTTACATCTGTTTTTCCTTTTCCTGTTATCCTTGTTTTATCTTTTTACATTTTTTAGTTTATTTGTAAAAACAAAAAACACATGTGGAGAACAAAGAAAAAAAGCGCATAACCGGCCAATAAGGCTGCTTCTGATTCTAAGAGCACACTGGAGGGATACTTTATTACATTCATCTTTCTTTAGCTATGTCTAAAAGTTCTATGAACAAATAACCGACACAAATTCATTTCCAGTTAATCAAGATCAATATTTCCAACCGTCATTTGTCACGACAGGCCGCAAACTTTTCTTGTCTTTCTTCTCTGTCTTCTAAACGGATATATGCAGTTCATGTGTATTCAATTAAAGGAACCGATACCAAGTGACGGTCTGGTGCTTTTACCGCCGACTGCACATGCTGCGGCGTACTGGACCGTTGTCACACTCTGTTTCTGTGGCTCAGGTGAGGCTGCGCTGCCAGAAGGGAATCCCTCCGGCGCTGCGAGGCCGCGCGTGGCTCTACCTGTCGGGAGGAAAGGTGAAGAAAGAGCAGAATCAAGGAAAGTTTCAGGTCAGAGATATTTCTGTTTCACTTCCTTTTATGCCGTACTTGGAATTCTTTAGAAATTGCAACTGAAACTGTGGGGGGGTTTCAGGATAGTGAAATACAAAACCTTTTTGAGTGGATTTTAGAGAAATGAAAATGATATGGATTAGGTTCCCAAAAGGCCCATTGTGTTGAATAAAGAGCTCTATCTCACTGTGTGTTTATTTTTAAAATGTGTTTCAGGAGCTGGATAGCCAGCCGGGAGACCCCAAATGGGTGGACGTGATCGAGAAAGACCTCCATCGACAGTTTCCTTTCCACGAGATGTTTGTGTCCCGGGGAGGACACGGGTACGCTGTCTGACATGATGTGACGTTACGGGCTGAGATCGGGTGCCGCAGTCCGTTTGATTGTGTGTGTTGGTGTGTCTGACTCCGCGCAGGCAGCAGGACCTGTTCCGTGTTCTTAAGGCCTACACTCTGTACAGACCAGAGGAGGGTTACTGCCAGGCTCAGGCCCCCATCGCTGCCGTGTTGCTCATGCACATGCCTGCTGAGGTACGCCCCTCCTCCACAGACACCATTTAAACCACTGCACGATGTTTCGCCACATGTTGGGAGGCGTTTGTCGGCCGCAGAGTTAATTTTGTTGGAAGGCTTGTTGCTATTTTGGTCTTAAAAAGAAAAATCCAACAGGTTTTTTTGTGAATTTCCTCTTTATTTCTTGACCAAATAGTCTATTTTAAGCTGAGCAGCTCAGAGACAGACTGTACAGACAAAGTTATCATGAGATAAATCTGAGATAATAGTTAGAACATTATGTCTGCAGCCACGCTGACCTTTTTAGGGCTGCAGATTTGTTTACTTCACAGCCGTAAAACTCAAATGTCTGTAGAAGTCTCTAAAACGAATTAACATCAACTGAGTGGTTTTAAATGCTGCGTTCCTATTGGTGTCCTAATGTGACCCAGCTTAGTGATGTTGTTGTGCTAACATCAGTGTTTTTGTTTTTAAAGTCTTAAACATTATTTAGTCTTTTGACCCATATGTTATGCAGCGTATAACGCATAGTGGCCAGACTTTTATCCAAGCCAACACTTCCAGCATTGACCTCCCTGACTTGTGAGCTTGCAGAAATGTGGTAAAACTAAGGTTTCTGCTGCGGCTTGCTGACATCATCTGTATTTGTTTCCACAGGATGCCTTCTGGGGGCTGGTACAAATCTGTGAGAAGTACCTTCCTGGCTACTACAGTCCTGGCCTGGTAAGATTGAAACACATACAGGCATGCAGGATGACCTCACCAGGAACATAATGTCTGAATAATTGGCTTGGATCAAAACCCAAGTAATGAATCTTGTGAAACTATTTTTTTCTAATGGTTCCTGTTCAGCATTATTGTCTTTTAATTATTTAATCTGTTTTAAATGGAAACAACACATTAACTGAATATTTCCAGAAACATGCCACATTTTGACTGCTTCACTTAAAATGGTTGAATATCCATATGCATATCGGGTTGCAGCCCCAACAATAGAGAATAAAAAGCCTTTTGTATTCCCTGTTAATGCGATCCGATCCGTGTCCATTTTCAGGAAGCCATACAGTTGGATGGAGAGATCTTGTTCGCCGTGCTGCGACGCGTCTCCCCACTGGCCTTCCGCCATCTGGAGAAACACAAGATCGACCCCATCCTCTACATGACTGAGTGGTTTATGTGTGCCTTCTCCAGGACGCTGCCCTGGGCCTCCGTGCTGCGCGTCTGGGACATGTTCCTCTGTGACGGTAACACTTGCTTGTTGCAGTGGTACCGGATTTTGTCGGTAGAAGCCCCCCCCCCCCCCCCGTTGCTCACCTCTGCTCTCCTCCCCTCTCCCAGGTGTGAAGATAATCTTTCGTGTGGGTCTGGTGCTTCTAAAGTGCATGCTGGGCACCCGGGAGAAGTTGAAGGCCTGCCAGGGCCAGTATGAGACCATGGAGCTCCTCAGGGCCCTGGAGCCTCGCTACATGCAGGAGGGCTTCCTGGTCCGAGAGGTAACCGCGGAGAGGCAGCCATGTGGTGCACTGGCCAGAGAGAAAGGCCTGGTTGACAAACATTACCCTGCTTAATTGTCAATGCAGGAAATCAATCATGAAAAAGTATATTGTTCAATCTCCACCACGTGCAGGAGGAGTTAAATTAGTTCAATCTATCAAAATAATGATAAAGATTTATGTCCCACAAGAGCTGGTCAATATCGGCTGGATCGTGCATTTTGGGTCTGTGCAATAATATATATGACCTAAATTCAGTAAGTGTTGTTATTTACCTTAACAAAGACCGTTCATTTCTCGAAGTTTATCGACAGGAAGTCATATTGCGCCGCCACAATCATTTAGCAGTGTAGTGAACACTGGGCGCTCAGAAGGGAAACCGGAGTGACTCTGAGAGAGTGAATGGAAGTGATACAGAGACAAATACACCAGAGTTCTGCCTGGGCAGTGTCTGGGTCGAGCGCCCACGCTTTGCGTACATCTCTGTCCAGGCTGACAATACCTCCTCTTGTATGAAGGCTTGTCTCGTCTGCAGATGACCATGCTGCCTTTTAACCCTTTGGCATTCATTGAGAAAGTTCACATTTTCAACACAAAGGCCACATGTGGAAGGGGAACATACTGTGCTTCCCAGCAAAGTCGGGTCTTTTCACACACAGTTCCTTTTTGAAAATGATCTAATATCTTGGAGACGACTTTAACGTCTCTTCCTGTCCCAGATTCTGGAGGTGCCGGTGACAGCGCGTGACGTGGAGCGGGAGAACTACACCCAGCTGAAGCGCTGGAAGAAGAACCGCGGCGAGCTGAATTTCAAATCCCCTCCGAGGATGCACGGCGCCCGGGTCGTCTTGCTGTCCGAGCCGCCGAGGCGCCAGGACCTGCAGCAGAACCCGACCATCGTGCTGGAGGTCCCGCAGCCCACCCCGCAGCTCAAGAAGAAGGATAGAAGCTTTAAGAAGAAGGGCAGCATAAAGAAGTCCCAGCCCGTTGTGGAGATCCCTAATCCTTACTCCCTTCCCAACGACCCTGCACCGCCCCTCGCAGGTCCACAAGCTCCTCCCCCCCCAGCGGGCAACAAGTCGCCGGAGGCAGCGCCACAGACTGACACGGAGCCGCCTCGCCAGCAGCCAGCGCCTCCCACAGAGCCGCCCCCCGCCGAAGAGTCTCCTCTGCAGCAATCCACACAAAGCCTTAGCAGCACCGAGCAAGATACGTACCTGTAGCTCTTCATCACTGTGTGTGTGTGTGTGTGTGTGTGTGTGTGTGTGTGTGAGAACCGAGCACCAGCAGCCTTCTGCCAACGACCCGCCAGCCTTTCCAAGGTCTATTATTCTAATGTTGGACTGTTTGATATTCATCTTGGACATTATTTTTTTCCTATTACATGACTGTGATACACTAAAGCGTCACGTAAAACTAATCTGTTACTTACTTATTCTGTCCTCAAGTATTCCGTTTGTTAGAGAGACTTGTTACTGAGTTGTGGGCTTCTAATGGGACTCACAGAATAATGAGGTGGCACAGCTAATGCAGGTTTTATATAGTTTTCCACTCCAATTCAACACTATGGAATTTATTGGTCACTAAGCCTTTTATATTTCACTAACGGTTTTGTTCACTAGAGGGCAGCCTGGCCGAGGTTTCCGCCGTTACATTCCCTGTTCGTAGAGCAGATCACAGCAGGTGTGGGATTCCTACGCGACCTCACATAACTTTGGGAGGTACAATTCTGAGATTGAGCTTTTTTTATTTTTTTCTCTCTCTCTCCTTTTTTTATGTTTTGTTTTCTTCTTCAAATTGTGCGGCATTGTTTTCTTGCTCATCTTTTTGGTTATTTGTTTAAACGGCAGTTTAAATGTTACATTTGTTTGCGCATTCCTTGCTATATATGGTCACTTTTTTCCCCCCACGTCCTTAGAATATATGTGATTTAGCTCCAATATTCACTGGGCCAGGCACTTCCAGACACTTTAAAGCAGCAAAGGGCCACACACCGGACACTGTGTCTAAAGCTTATCAGTTTGAGAGCTGTCTCCTGCCAAATGCAATTCCCTATAAAGTATGTATTTGTGCATGTTTTCAAATCACTTAATTGTTCTGACCTTCTTCTCGGCTTTGCTCTAATATCCAGTTGGAGCCAAGAATATCTTGTGCGAATTGGCTCCGTCTTTTTTACTTATATTATGCTAGAAGTTCCAAAGTTTTGAGATGACATTAGAGCCGCTGTGACCAGGTGTTCTCTGTTCGTACAGTCAAGAGGGATCAAAGGATTTCAAGATTTCTTTAGAGCTATTTTGAATAATTTGATGGCGATGTATGGAGACACGCAGAGGCTGTGCGCTGATTGGACAATCCTTTTGTGTCCTTTTGTCTTTCATCACAATGATACAAAGTAAAGGGAGTTTTGTATCCGTGTAAGATGTGTTTTTGTATGTAGTTTATACAGAAACAAAGCAATGCATTTTTCACTTATCAGAAGCAGTGTCGTTTAAAAGGATAACACACAATTGCAAGAAGCCCCTTCCCAGTATAGATCTTTATTTGCTTATACTACACATCTCACATTTTGCTATAATTTAATTTAATGCTCATTGTGTAGATATATCCTGTAAAATAACAATTTATTTTCTAATAAATTTATTTTTCAATGTATAATGCTATATTTTACGTAGCAGTTACATAAACCGAGAAGACATCTCTAAATAATTTGAAGTGTAAGACGTGATCTTTTTCAATCAATATTTGTAACACTAGAAAAATCCCAAATTTGTGGGTGATCTTTGCAAGTGAAAATTATTTTGTTACACTTAAAATGATCTGGTATTGTCATTCACATTAGGATTCATAAGATGTTTGACAAAAATGGGGCGCTATGCATCATCATGTTTAAATTGAATGAATAAACTTGTTTAAAGCAATCAAAAAAAATGTGACCAGAAGTTGGTTCAATATTCTGTTTTCACCCCCAGATGGCGCTCCAGAGTCATCGGTGGTTTATGTGCACGGTGCTGGGGCATCTTAATGAAAGGCCGCTGAGAAAAGAGGAAATGAATCACTTTTTATACATTGTAAGTCATTCAGGGAGAACACAGTTCAGATGGGTTACAGCCTTTATGCTAATCTATAGAAATACCTTTCAACAATTGGCACATTCAACTTCTCCATTGATTATATCACAATCAGCTTGTATGCTTTTGCGTAGAAGACATTTCTTTTGTTTATTTTTTATTGGTTCAACTTTCATACACGGCAGTAGACAAATTAACAAGGAAAATGAGGGTATGTACACATACTGTTTATCTACATATATATATATATTATGTAAGAAAACTTGATAAAATTCATAAAGCATTTTATCAAGAGAACTCTGCAATGTTCTTGTCATTCGTCCTTCCACGCATCAATGTGAGCGAGCTGCTGACTCGTCAAGGTGGAGCCATATTCTACATCATTGGTATATGAGGTGTTTTTTTAATATAAATTCTTAACACAAAAAAGAGAAAGGGGATATGTGCTTTGAAATGTCTTCTAGGTGCTGGTTTTGTAACGTTTGGGCCGAATCGGGCTGTATCCATCTCTTTATATTAAGCTTAGTTAACTAGCCTCTTGCCCCCTGTAGCTACATATCTAGCGGACGTACAAGAGAAAATCTTCTCATCTAATTCCCTGCAAAGAAGTGATTAAAGATATTTCCCAACAATGTGGAATATTTTCAAAAAGCAAATTTGAAAAACAACAAAAGTGTGGCACGGTAGCAGTTGGAAGGTTCTACAGAGTCCTAAATATATGATAATTGGTTACATTTCTCTACTGCTTGGACTTTAGACTCTGCAGGGGTCAACTCTCCTCAATTATGCAATTCTGCACTGTCAAATCTGTCATCTCAGATTATACTACAATATTAACTGGAGTCTGTTGTCTGTGTGTCTGTCTGCTAATATCTGCGAACGAAAAAAAGACAGTGAAGTCACTGTAGGAGTGTTTCTACTCATGACACAAATATTTGACCTTTCTGCCCAGAGGCTGTTGCTTCAGCTTAAAGGCTCATTCCTGGTCTCTCCCTCTCTGCTCGTTTAGACTAATAACACGTTGCTGTTCTTTTCTTAATTCACTGTTTGAACTGCCGACGGACGCCTTTTCTGCACCTTGAGGTGTGGGATATTCTAAGGTTCTGCCTGAGGCTTGAAAGAGTTCATTGCAAATCGCTACCTTGATGACCTCAGAAATCCCGCTAACTGGTTCCTAATCGTCCGGCAAAGGCGTGAGCTGCAGCTGTTGACCTCTGGTCACAAGGGGCTCAAGGTAGTGATTAGAAGAGTTTGCAGATGATCTGGGAATAATTGTTTTTGCAGTGACTATTTTTTTTTTACATGATCAGTCGAGGACCCTGGGTTAGGTGTATGCACATGTGCCCCCATGTGATGTGTCATTCTACCAAGCCATTGTGGATCTGTTGATGGTCGGCTAACATGAGGCACAGCAACAGTTAATGGTCTAGGTCCCAGAGGATGGCATGCACCGTCACGCTTTCCCTCTTTGCATCGGACACCTGGCCCCTCTTTCAGTGCCACCGTGTCATTTACATCTCAAAGGGGGACGACCAAGAAGGCGCTCTCTGTGCTCCCTTCCTTACTCCAGAAATGATCTGATTTATCTCTTCATCAACGGAAATATATGCCTTTTTAGAGGGCCACCTCGCCTCCCTCGTCCCCAACCTACCGAGATGGGAGAGGGAGCAGTAAAAGGAGAGACTTGTGATCCTCCGTGTGATCCCACACCCAACGGACCCCTGTCACAGTGCTTGATTCATGTGATGCGGGTGACTTTCTCTCTGCTCCCAGGCTCAATGTGCTAAGGCACAGAGGGGGTGGATGGCATAACGCGCAGCAAAGGCGCCTGTGTTCCTGAGGTGTCCGATTCCAACGTTTGATGGAGCATGACAGGTTGGCTCAGGTCGAATTATAAGGCCACGGTAACAAATATGAGGGGAGATATCGTGCAGGAGAACTTTCCGTGGCAGCGGGAATAAAACGTTATTTATTGCACCGAGGGAAAACATTAGTCTTTGTGGCATTAAGAGGGAGGCGGGGATTCCTGTGCGAGAGCCGGGGTGGATAATTGAATCATCCTTGTGTTGTTCTTTCAATGTGACCTCTTCTGTTCATCTGCCAAAGGAACAAAAACGTGTGTTATGCTCCTGCAGCATTACGGCTGACGGCGTTCTTTTCTGAATCAGACATCATTAAACATTTTTCTGCGTTATTGTAATAAGTTTGTCATGAATAGCTCTCCCTCCAGGTATAGCTTTGTAAACGTTCTCCATCCTCTGGCTCTCAGCTATGTTTGACCAACCTAAACATAGTGTACTGTTAAAACATCAGCAGTCATTTATAACTTGTTTTAAGTCTGGAGCTGTGCCTGCAGACTTATTCCATCATCTAATATACACGGCTCTGTGTACCCTGGAAATGTAGTTTTGGCACCCATGCTTTTTCCACTGTATAAATCTGCTTCCATTTAGGGAAGCAGATATGTGTAAATGGTTAATATTAGCTGGTACATTTAAGAACAAATAACAACCAAAATCCTTAAGGGTGCATTTAACAAAATGTCATCTTATCAAAGTTCATGGAGGAACCCAAGAGAATTACTACTGAACTTAATGTTTGACTCGGACCCTCCTGAGAGTTATGAAGGTTTGGAGTCGACTCTCTCCTTCAACAGCAAAAATGCAACACTGTCCAACCTTATTTGTCAGCTTGGCCCAATTCAATTCAATTAATACTTTTAATAGAACAATCAATTTCTAGAGTTCCTGAATCACACAAGACTTGTCGATTTAAGTGCCAAAATAATGAAAAATTACATAATAAAATTCTGTGTCCTGTTCATGGGCACAAGTGCTTTAATCTCACCTTGGTATTTTTTGATTGTGCACTATAACGTTGGATAATAATATATAAAACTAAACTAACTTGTAATCAATTTAAGTGAAAGTGACTGTTAGCAAGGGGAAAAAAACATGTACCCTCCGGAGATTATTAGATTATTATGTATTAACTAAAATGATCCACATCCACAACGGACATAGTGGTCCTACTGACGTCTAGAAGACGTCATTGGGGTTCTAACTATTTTATATGTAACTATTAAATCTTACCTTATAAGGACGGGATGGAATAAAACCCCAAACTTGGGCACTTAAAGGACAAAAATATGGGTCATCCTCCCTTCAGCGAGAGAGCAGTTCCCCCTACACTTCTTTTGACCCCCCCTCAACAATTCATGACGTCGTTTAACATTTCTTAAGACACTAAAGCTATTTGGTGGTTTTGGGGGCGGGGGGTTCAAATCACATGAACCAAGTCATGTGAGCTCTAAACATGCAGTTGAATGGTAGAAAAGGTAAGTGAGGCATAATAATTGTGTCCGCTAATTACCTGCCCGCTGCTGCGCCTACAGGATGTTTTAGACCCAAACAATGGGTGTGTGCGGGGGTTATGTGGGGGTAACTGCGGCACACCTGCGTCTCTGTCACACACCTTGAGGAGTTTCAGGCGTTTCATTTAATCTCCATCAGTTGCCCACCCCCTTCTACCTCCCCTCTGCGCCCATCCTCCTGACCTCCTGACCCCTTACATCCCCTGGCTCTGTTCGCCAGAGGCACGCGCAATTACAGCTGTGAAGTCCTGTCAAATAAATGAAGCATAGCAGCTACGTTTTTCCCGACACTGTTGATTTGACTCGGGTCTTCATTCCCCGCTGGTAGAATGAAAACGTTTTCATACCTTTGTGTTCTGATTAAGCTATTTTTCACAAATTGACAATAGGACAGTTGCAGGGCCGCGATTCCCCCCCACATACACACACTGGTTCCTGTCCCTTGCTTTTCGGGTGGCACTGATGATCAGTAATTAACACAGCCAGGTAGAGAATTAGCTGCATGGCTCTCCCTGTGTGATTGTTTGCTTGTGTGTGTGCCTGCGGAGGCTCCTGGCTGGTGGGTGATGAGTTACAGACACAGATGGTGGGCATCAGGCAGGCTGGCTGGGGGCAGATTAGCAGCCTCCCATGTCTGAGCAGCCCCGTCCCAGGCCGCTCCCACTCCCCCTGCGCCCCTGAGGAGTGCCTGTCTGTAACTCTACTCGTTTTGGCAAGCCTCATGTGTTGATGGAGACCGACCATGAGCTTATCTCGTCTCATTCCGCCATTAGTGGGCCTAGCAGGCTCGGGGCTCCCAGAGAGAAGGGGCAGGGGGTGCGTGTGGGGGTTTCTGAGGGGGGGGGGTCTGTGTGAAAACAAGCTTGTTTTGAAAAGGTAATGCCGTTGCCTTTAAGTGGCACATGTTTTGCAATTAGAGGTAACTTTACACCACTAAATGGAGCCTTATCTAAATGCATACTCATTTGCACTTTTATAGCATGGTGTCTAGGTGTTGAACCATCTTTTTTTTTAACCACTAAGCCTTTGGTACTTTTTTGAATCATAATCAAGGGTCTTTGATGGGACCTTCTATGTGCGCATGTGTGGGAAGGCTGCCGCCACATGTGCCACTTCTATGGGGAGTGGCAGATGCTGGTAATCCCCCTCTTCCGTTACTTCCACAAAAAATGCCGACAGTGCAGATTTTGCCATAATGCCATTTGCATGTTACACTGGGCAGGAAGAAAACAGTTCAAACAGTCCAGGTCAAAGGTCAGCCAGATGCGATGTGCAGGGCACAGGAGGGGGGGAAACTGGGCAGTCTGTAGGTTAGCTTTGGGGGCCTGTTTATTTTATAAACAGTGGGAGCAGATTAGTATTGGAGCCAGGCTCCATCGGCCATATGGGGAGGATGTCCTCTGTGTCAGGAGGCTCTTAACAAACCATTGTGTTGGACACACAGTCACTGGCATCATTTTCGGACACCACTAATGAGATGATGTTATTGGCA